CTCGGCTTTGTCACACAAAAAGCCAAGTGTTTCCACTAAGCCAGGCTTTATGAACTACGGAGAATATGGCCCTAAAGCACGCCAATGTGCATACTGGAAAGCAGTTCTGCGATTCTGCTTGCGAGCAAGCGTGTAGTTAGTATGTGAATCCCACTTGAATAACCTCTGTTGCGACGTTGTTTTATGACGCGCAGAAGTCGTGTGCGTGGCGTCGCCCCTACATGATCAATGATCATAATCACAATATTTCGGGATTAGAACTTTTAAGGCCCGGTTTATTGATGTCCAAGAAGAATTTGCTGTTAACTGTCTACAAGATAAATTCACCGATCTAATTCTACTGGTCGATGGATAACGTGGACCAACAGGATTGCAGATTGCGTTTTTGTTCGTCAGATTGCATTACCTGACAGTTTATAAAATAATAAATAAACCGGCCCTGAAAAAAAAAATCTGTGGTCGAAGAACCTCTTAGTACTCCAGAACTTAGCATTGAATAATTGGCAATATACGTTTCCTAATATCTAGACAGCTCTCGTCGAGCTTTCCGTATTTTTGTAGCCATTCTTGTGGCGAAAGGGTGAACGGAACTTAAGTAAGCTTACCACTCAAACTTAACATAACTTAAACGTACAGGGGTGATCTATTATAAATGTCACCCCCTGCTAACTTTTTCATATGACGTTTTTGACAAAAGTGTCAAATACAAAAGTTTTAAGAAATTGTCAAAAGTTTTCAAATAAGTCAGTTTTAGGCATACAGAGTGCGTCAAAAAAGTGCAGCGGTGTGAAGTTATATTTTTTTATTTAGAACACCCTGTATATTGGGCGCTTATTTATTAGTCCCCTTCAACCTGATTTCAACGATATACGGTTTGATATGTTTATCTAGTTTATCTCCAATAGTTAAAGGGAAAAACGCGAAAATCCCTTCAGATCTCTCGTTATAATTTTATTTTTAAATATTAAAAATAACTTAGACATCTAGATTTATCATAATATTTCCCCTTGTATATTATTGAATAAAATTTGAATAAACTGTTTATAAAAAAAAATTCTCTAAAGCTTTAATGGCATTATATTTCTTTTTTCAATATGAAAACTTGAAAGGCGTTTTCATGTTTTTCCCTGTAACTATTGAAGATAGATATATCAAATCATATATCGTTGAAATCAAGTTGAAAGGGACTAACAAATAAGCGCACAATATACAGCTTGTTCCATTTAAAAAAATATAACTTCACACTGCTGCACTTTTTTGACGCACCCTGTATACCTAAAACTGACTCAGTTAAAAACTTTCGACAATTTCTTGAAACTTTTGTATTTGACACTTCTGTAAAAAATGTCAAATAAAAAAGTTAGAAGGAGGTGACATTTATAGTAGATCACCCTGTACCTTAAGTCAATTCTAGCAGAAAACATACTTTTTCTATTTTGGTGTCATATCGAAGTCTTTTCGACACTAAAAGTAGTTTCGAAAAGAAGCTCTTTGTGACACTCCTTTTTTACTTATCGGAGGTTGGTGACACTGACTGACTGATGGCCATCAAACTGTCATTCGCTATTTTATAATAGAAGATTTCTATATTTGGCATGTAGTGTTACCAACCTAAACTATGAAATCAGGAAATATGAGAATAAAATTTCCAAGAAAAATTTGTTTTTTTAATTAAACAATACCAAAATAGAAAAAATAGTATAAAATATTCGTTTCATAAGACATTTTATCGCACTCGCCCTTTAGAAAACTCGCCTCCGGCTCGTTTTCTAATATAGGGCTCGTGCGATAAAATGACGTCTTATGAAACTTGTATTTTAATGTACTATTCTGATCTAGCCCTGCTGTCCATTGAAACTCATATAGCACAGAATTGTTATATGAGGGGATTATAAACAAATTTGCAAATGCAAAAATGAGCAAACAGCGATTCACCTACAATTTTGTATTTTGCTGGTTCGATTTTTATATTTATAAGAGCCGGTTTATTCACCTTCTAACAAACTGTCAGGTACCTAATGCAATCTGACGGACAAAAACTCTATCTGCAATTCCATTAGTGTGCTAGTTATTTGCCGACCAATAGATTATAGGTCGATAAATCTATCTTGCAGATAGTTAAGAGCAAGTTTATGTGAAGATCAATAAATCGGGCCTGAGTGTTGATAAGTGATATTACCGTAGAAATTTCCATTATTTGTGTGTCTACTTTAAATCAACTCTTAAAAGGAAAAGAGTAGGTATAGACGGTATAGTTAGACCAACTAAGAAGAGCCCCTGACGTCATCACTGACGAAGAAGGCAAATTTTTTAGAGGCCCTCCCATTTGAAGTGAGACAAAAAATCACGCGGTAGCTTCTTCTTAGTTGGTTTTATCTATACCAATGAACATGGATGTTTTCAAATTTCAATTGATAAGATAGTTAGAGACATCTAGGTATTACAATGGTCAAAATCCATATGCAGAAGATTCACATTTGAATTAGGGGCGCCAAAGTCGGATCTCGCTCCATCCTGAAAGTAGGCTCGGGCCGGCACTGGTCCCACGTACGTACATTCAGGGACGTACCACGTACGTACATTCAGGGACGTACTCAGTACGGCTTTTTAGGTACGTGTTGGGGACGTACATTACCGTACGTATTTAGTATAGCTTTTTAGGAATGTGTTTGGGACGTACAGGGTTTTCCTATATATTTTTTTGCACCTTACCAGAACTGGTTGATTGAATAGGTATCAAAAATATGTAAATACAAATGTTGTATTTACACCTTTTTGATACCTATTCAATTAACCTGTCCAGATGGGGTGCAAAATAGTACATTAAAATAAAAGTTTCATAAGACGCCATTTCATTTTATACTATTTTTTCTATTTTGGTATTGTTTAATTAAAAAAAAAACAAATTTTTCTTGGAAATTTTATTCTCATATTTACTGATTTCATATGTTTAGGTTGGTAACACTGCATGCCAAATATAGAAATCTTCTATTATAAAATCGCGAATGACAGTTCGATGGCCATCAGTCAGCCAGTGTAACCAACCTCCGATAAGTAAAAAAGGAGTGTCACAAAGAGCTTCTTTTCGAAACTACTTTTAGTGTCGAAAAGACTTCGATATGACACCAAAATAGAAAAATACCTATATGGAGAAAACCCTAAACATAGAGGTACGAGGTATGTATTTATGTGTAGGTATCTTTATAGTGAAAAATAAAACCATATAAATATGTATTGTATTTTCAAGTTACAATTTTCATACTCAATAAATGCCTTAACAATAACACTAAAAAACTGAAAAAAATTAACACAATATCAAATATAACATAAAACATAGGTACTCTTAAATTTAATTTTATTAAACAACAGTACTACCTAATATAACAAAAAAAAAATTAAAGAAAAGTGAAGAAAAATTCCAACCTTCAAAAAAATATACAGAAATAGATAGGTATTCTACAAACATAATAATATAGAGAATTGTAAAGGGGCATAAACCAGAAAAAGTTTCACACAGTATCGTGTATTGATAATTCTGGATCATTTTCGGTTTCTTTTGCTATATCTTCGGCTGTTATTTCTCCATTGGTTATTTGATTTATAGCAATATCATTTAACAAGACGGTCGAAATTTGATCGTGGCGCCATCTAAGACAAGGATTCAACACTAAACAGCAATTTTTGCTGTAATTAGTGATGCCCATAGAGAAGTGATGTCATCTAATAGGCCGACCAAAAATCAGTTCGTTGGGAAAACCCAATATTATACACTAATGAGAAAATGTTGGATTAATTTTCTTTGCTTTTCCACCCATAGACGAGTGTCGACCCATCAGGTCTCATCAGTACGGCTAGGAATAAGGAGAATTTGTTTTTCCTATTTTGGGTTTTCCCAACGAACTGATTTTTGGTCGGCCTATTAGATAGCATCACTAATTACAGCAAAAATTGCTGTTTAGTGTTGAATCCTTATCTTAGATGGCGCCACGATCAAATTTCGACCGTCTTACTACTTCTATTTTGCATACAGGTACAACATTTGGATTGGTTTTCTTTGCTTTTCCTAGCCATACTGATGAGACCTGATAGGTCGAAACGTGTCTATGGATTGAAAAGCAAAGAAAATTAATCCAAAATTTTCTCATCAGTTTAATATCATTTAAGATATATTCTTGATCTGTAAAAGTGTTATCTTCTTCATTTAATCATCATTATTTTTACTGTAATTTTTGTATCTATATGCGGCTCTCGAATTTCTGTTTTGTTTATATTTCTCTAAATAAAGCCTGGAATGGAGAAGAAACACTCGAATCTCCAGAAACATTTTGATGAAAAGTGCCAGAATCTTAGGATTTTAGTATTCAGGTTAAAACTTTACACCTTTAATGAGCATCCAAAACAATTCAAATCCGAATCAGAATTTTCAGGAACATTTTGAAACAATTTAGAAACTTCAGAGTTATTTCAGAACAATTATAGTATTAAATTTAGAACTGGAAACCTTTTAGAACTCTTTTGATCCAATTTAGAGCTCCAAAATACTCAATAATGTATTAGAACAAATTAGAAATTACTGAAAAACTTCTAAAATACTCCAGAACTCTTCAAGCCAAGTTAGAACACTTTAGAACTTCAATTCTAGGCTCTTGATTTTTCCTTATTTTTTTATTCTACTCATTCTAGCTTGTGTGTAATTTAAATTAGACTTCTGGATCAACGGTTTCCCGTAATTTTACAATCAAAATCAAAATAAATAATTTACTCAGAGAAAAATTAAACAAGTTGCATCACGTTAAACACATAATATAGTTTATATCTACCCAGGTTTATATTATGAACAATTTCCTAGCTTTGTATTACCCCCACATTTTTATGTGTCACTACAAATAAACCATACCTGAATTCATAAACAATTTTAGAATAAAAAAACACATTTTAAACACAAAAAACATTCTTGTCCTTATTGAGTTCCATAGTAACCATGCTTGAAAGATTTTAAAATGTCCGTTGAATCAATTTTATTTATTTTAATTGTGTATATTAGTTTTAATTTAATTAATTCCTACGAGGATGATTGGAGTTTGTTTGAAAATAGCTTCATACATCATAATAGAGAAGGTAAGATTTCCAACCTATTTTGCCTGGCATTGAAAATGTATTGTTCTAGAAATTTTTATAAGCAACGTCACCACTGATGAGCATTTTAAATTGAATTTTACTGTTGCAAAATGGGCCACCCTAAATGCTGGGCCCATATGCTATACAGGGGGCATTACAAATAATGGAAGCCTCATAATTTTATTTTCTACATTGTCCAGTAATGGTACTGGAATTGCAATAACAGAAAAAATATATGGTACCTAATCATTTTAATCAAATTTGAGCTAATATACAATGTATTACAGATTTAGAAGATCCTATTACAAATATTGAATTTATTGAAGAAAGGAAAAATGGAAATCAATCTTTCTATATTATCGCATATAGTCCAAAAACCAATAATTTTATATGGTATACATTGAAAAATTTTGTTATGGTAATTTGAATATTGTTATTAAAAAATTAATCTACTATATTAAATCGTTTCAGAATAAAATTTGGACTTGGCACATGGAAGAACCAATTTCATATTTTAGTAGTTTCAAAATTAATAAAGACCCCTTTCTTATAGTTAGCACATTGAGCCGGACAAAAATTTATAGATTTAAGATTGATACGTTAGAATATTGGTAATTTATTGCAAAATTGTATAAAGAGGCCCAATGAAATTCCTAATTTCCAGGATTCATCAGTCAATCCAGCTGGGTGAACCAACAAACTCCCTGTGTCTAACCCAAACTGAGGCAAACTTTTACTTATCCATTACCCAGCCTAGTGCAGGACTTCTTTTAATCTACAAATCATCTAATCAACATTTTAATTATCAAGAAAGTTTAACCAGCAATCAACTTAATCAAGTAATATGTTTCGAAAATGGTTTCAAATCGTTTGTAGCTTTCAACGGACATGATGCGGGCATTTATGAATTTACCAAAGAAGGCTTAGAAAGTCGTGAAATTGTTAATTCCAACTTGGAAGGGATTCAGTTTTGGTTGAGCGTTCCTATTGATATTTATAGGGACGAGAGTTTGTTGTTTTGCCAAAGGAAATTGGATCATGATAGTCATTTTTCTTTTGATGTTGATGTCGTCACTTATAATGGAAGAAGGTATATTTTCTTAAACTTCCTTTCATTCCAGGCTCTTGAAATTCCACTTTTTTTAAAATGAAAATTTGGTTTACCGCTGGAAAAATTTTCTCAGACTAATCAAGAGCCAGTAATAATCAAAATTTGAACTAGGTACTGCTGGTTCTTGAATCAATAGCATTTTTCCTTGAGAAAAATCAAGGTGCAATCTTACATATCCATCACCTTTTGAGTTACGAAAATCTCTTTTAGATTTGAAGAGCACGAAGATATTCCATGCTCCTTACACGGAGACCTCCACAATAACTTGAAATGCCTAACAGAATTTGATTCTCATAAAGGGATGTTAAGTAAGACTATATAAAAAAAACCTTTTTGTAAAACGAAAATATTATTTTGAACTATTTTAGGTAGTTCCTATATACGAGTAGCCAACCATCTTGCACTAATAGTATCAAGCTCCAAGAATTCCTCTATTTTATTCAATTTGAAAGTTGGTTTGAAGAAAATCGATCATCCTGCTAAAAAGGAGCTAGAGTTATTCCAGGACCTCAAAAAGGAACTGGAGGTGATATAATATTCATTAAATCCAATAATTCATAATGTATTATTTCAGATTATTATAGCCGAGCAAAAAATTATTACTAAAAAATTAAAGAAACAAGAAAGTAGAGATGCACCATTATTACAAGCTAAACTTGATTGGAAAAATGAAGCTGCAAATGTATTAAATGAACTAGATGATGTAAATAGAGAGTTTGAAAATTATGAAACTTTGAAGTTGAAAGGCAAATACGATACCGTGATTTTTAATGGCCCTGTGGTTGTTAAAAGTGCACTTATTACTACTAACTTTATCACAGAAGATCCAGATATCGTGAAACTTTTAAATAATCTAGTCAGGTATTGAATATTAAATTGATTTTTTGAATCAAATGTTAAAAGGCTATGATTTTAGGAAAGATCATCTAGAACCCATACAAGGCCTCAAAACTTTCACCAACTTATCTGTGCATGAAATGTCTTTTGAAAATCTTAATAATATAAGTAAAAATGAATTTTTACTTTTAAATGATGAAATTAATGGAAATATTGTCTTTGAAAATGAAGTAGCTGTAGGAAGTATTGAATTACTTGATGGAGTTGTAAATGATGTTGAAATTGATAAATGGGTCAACGTTGACAAACCAATAACAGGTGAACCATATTTCCAGCCTAGGTAATTATATATTTATAGTAATTTTCCTTTTAGATCCCATAACTTTCGAACAAGTAAAGGTAAGAAATAAGTTTGAGACACAATTACTGAACGATAAACATATTTCACAATCTACTGGAAAACTGTTTATTCCTGGCAATGTAACTGTTGAAAATCTAAATGGACGCAACTTTGAAGATTTCCTTCGGAAATTATGCATTGACAATGCCACATGCCATTTAACAAGTCTTAAATTGAATGGAGTAAGTTTCTATTTGCAACTCTATTAATAACCCTAATTTTAATGATTTCAGGGTATACATGTTAAAGGAAATGCTAACATAAAAAGGCTGAATACCTTACAATTCCCAGAGGATTATATTGATTTAGAGCCTAAAAAGAAGCTAACTATTTCAGGCAAAAAGGAATTTACTAATATAACCAGAGGATACAAGGCTACTGTAAATGGAACAGTCAATGATATAGATTTAGCAAAAATTATTAGTTTATCAGGAAATCAAAGTATCACTGGAACAGTAACTTTTAGTCATTTAGAAGTTGTTTCAGATTTAAATGTGAGTCTCTAAACTGTCGCGAAAGACACTTTATACTTTATTAATGACTGAGATGGGGCCCAGTTTTTTCTGTAGTAACCTTAACTGAGATGGGGCCTTGTTTTCCCTGATGTGGCTTCCTTCCCTTATAGCCACCCCGATTCTCGCTACTAATAACTGTTTTTCTGAGACACAGCATGATCTGCGGCTATTACTGAAACTCTGAAACTGGCGTGAATCCTCCGCCTGGGATTCACGTTGCCTCATACTGATACGTAAATCCTCTGCCCCCTTCATGTTGAGATTGATATCGATACATGTTTTACGACAGGCAGCGTTACATGTAAATCTGATATTTGTATCCAGGTTTCAACTGCTCCTACACGTTGAGATGAGCTCAGGAAACATCAGTTAAGTTACAAGTTCAGTTCAATCCACATTTGAAAACAAAATGGTGCCGCCTCCCAAAACTCACGATCCAACATAACAAAATTGCATCCTTAGAATGTATTAAGAATGTTCTTTTTTTAGGAGGAATGTGCCTAGAATGTGCGCCAAAACCATTGCGAATGTCCTGAGAATGTTCTAAGAAAAGATTGTAGAAATACTGTTTGCAATACCCAAGAACTTCCTGGGAAATCCATTAGGATATTCTTAGAATATACCTACGAGATTCTCAGTATATCCTGAAAAGAATATTCCTGTTTGATTCTAAAAATATGCTCGAAATGTATATTCTCATATTCAAAGAATGTTTCTATGTCATTATCATCAAAAGAATATTATACCAATATGCTTGAAATGTTCTTAGAATATATCTACATAAAAATATATCATTCTCAATATGCATTCTAGACATAACATTCTTGTTTGATTCTAAGGATATACTTGGAATGTTAATTTTCTTTTCCAAATAATGCTCCTTCCAGTCCTTTCATATTAAAGGCAGTGAAAGAATTGTTGGAAAATTTCTCTGGAAAACACAAGTGTTTCACCAAAACTCCGGTTTCGAGCTTGTTATGCTCTCGCCCAAGCATGCCAACTGAGAGAAACAGGTTCCAAGGTGATTCAAACGCGAGGCAAGATGTAGATCCTTAATAACGCGTGGCTCCCTCTCTTGGAAGTCCTACAAAGCAAAAGAAAAAGAATATACCTATAATATTCTTAGTAGGTTCTAGATAGAGCATTATTGTTTAATTGTTCAATTGAGTTTTTGAGTAGGTACTTTAGATAATTAGGTGAACAATATGGAAATATTCTCATCATGGGTACCTACCTACATGAACTTCTCAGCATAACTTGGTAGGTATATTCTTAATACTTGATAGAGATATTAGCCGAAAGAACATTTTTCATGGAACATTATAATAATGTTCATATGAGAATATTCAAATAATGTTATATAAAGTAGGTTCTTAGTACAATCTTTCAGGTAGGTGCATAGAACCAACATTCCTAGTACATAAATAGAACGTTCAAAAATGAATATTTCAATCGAAACAATCAATATTCATTGAACATTCCTAAAAGAACATTTTAAAAAGTACTTTGAGAGAATATTCTGAGGATATGAATGTTCTTTCACTGTTATGTGGGATTTTCCATGTTGGAAACAACACTGTTTATATTTTAATAGCGCGGTACATAAACTCTGTTCCAACCGACATGAGAAGTGTTCTAGAACGGTTATACAACTCACTGTAAATTTTTTCCATATGACACGAGAGGCTTAAAAAGTGATAAGCCTTTTGGAGTTATCGCGATTGGGAGCAAAATTATTGAAGTTTAGTTCGTTGTATAACCTTTTGAATACCACTCGATATTCCAGGATTCCCTAATACAAGGAGGAGCGGTGTTGCTGGTAACGCGTTGAGTGTCAGGTTAAAGTATTATGGTATTATATTCGATACTTTCCAGTTGCCCAAGTATTTTTCAATAAGTCTAACGTTTATATTAATTAACAAATTAATTAATCGACTGAAAATTTTCGTTAGAACAGTTCTCATGTTGGATGGAACGTACGCCAATGGTTGGAACAGAGCTATAATTGACCTTTTCAATTTAGAAACCTCTTTCTCTGGCGTCAAACTACCAAACGCCCAAAGAGCATGAAAACAATGATTGACAGCCGCTGACAGTGGTTTGTTGACAATACTTTTATACGTGTGGAAACTGGAAACTATTATTTCCTCGTTTTTTTCAAGATTTTTTCCTAACAATGGTGATTGTGTGTAGCGTGGCTTTTCGTGAAAATAATTGCTATTCACCGGCGGACGTGTCTTTCCATAAGTTTTTATCAATTCCTACATTTGTCAAAATTTGGATACAAAAAAATCAGAAAGGATACTCGCAAAAGAAAGGGAAATCCACGGCTTATCAAGTATACAAAATAATCTACGTTCAAGTTTAGTTTTCGGAAGCTGTTTGCTTCCCACATTTTCTTCCCAATTTCAAATTTCACCATTCTATGTCGGTCATTGTCATTTTCCATTCACTAAACAAGAATACATAACTCATCGGTACGAAGGCGTAGAAGTGCCACACATAATAGTTATTTATCTACAAGCGTGCGGTAACTAAGGTATATTACACAACTTTGCGTGCGGTAAGTACCACATTATCGCACGGCGTGCGGTAATATTATTACCGCACGCTCTACCTACATAGGTACGTACCTTTAATTACCTACCAGAAATAAATTACCTACCTTTCACCTAAATTCTACTTGTCCGCTGTCAAAGGTGGCAGACGCAATTTTTTTTTTTTTAGAATTTTTTAGATTTCTTTCGGATATTTTGTTACCGCACGCTTGTAGATAAAATACTGTATATACTTAATTCGTATGGTAATTAGGTTATTACCGCTCTTAGAGATTGCAAACCTCGCTTCATCGGCTCGGTTTGCCAATTTCTCTCGCGTGCGGTAATAACCTAGTTACCACACTTATTATATAATATACTATTATGATATAAGTGTTAAAAGTACATTTTTATGGCGCGCATGTGAAAGTTTGCAATTCACATAAGTGCCTTAGAAATACTTTTAACACAAATATCATACATTATTTTTTCTACAAACGGTAATAACCAGTAACAAATTGATTTTTAATAATGAATAATATATTAAAAGCATCTTTCCTACATAAAATTATCGAAGTTGACATTTGTCAATGAAGCCAAGCAACCAGCACTTTGGTTTTTTACAGGTAATTTGAAATTTCTTGTCAGTTTCTTGAAACTCTGTCTTGGATAGTCTCAGTAGTGCAAGACAATACAGAAGAAAAACAGGATTGCATCGATCCCTTGAAAAATATTGATGAGGCGGCCAATCGAGCTTCCTCAGTTGTTCAAATTTTACCATTAATATTGATGTAGATAACTAAAAATACAAACTTTTTTTGACGTTTGCTCTCAAAATTTGACGTTTCATTTTTAACACTAGCGCCTTAAAGACTTTTAACACTAGTCCGATAAAGTAACATTTTAAATGCTACGGGGGGGTGTTAAAAATTGCATTTTTAACACGATTGTAGAAAAAAAAATTATTCACTTCGACTTTAAAGTCGAAATTTCGTCTTTAAAGTCGAAGTACCAAAAATTTTGACTTTAATGTCGAAATTTCGAGAAATTAGTTTAAATTTCGAGATAAAAGTCCCAAAAATTTCGACTTTAAAGTCGAAGTTCCAAAAATTTCGACTTTAAAGTCGAAGTACCAAAAATTTCGACTTCAAAGTCGAATTTTCGTACCTACCAATAATTCAACGACTCAAAATACATACAGGGTGACAATTTAAAAAGAAGCAATCGGGAATATCTCTTAGGACCGGTTTATTCATCTTCAGATAAACTTGCTGGTAAATATCTGCAAGATAAAAGTTACCGTTATAAAATTCTATTGGTTGGCGGATAACTGGCCGGCCAATGGGATTACAAATTGTGTTTTTATCCTTCAGAATGGACACAATGCATACCTGACACTTTATCAGAAGGTGAATAAACCGGCCCTTAAACAAAAAATTCTATCAGGAAGAACTCAAATAAGTATCGGGGGATTGGAGGGGGCATCAAAATGAGGGACTCTTTGAGTCACCCCGCCTAGCCCCTCAGGGGGTAGCTACCCCATTTATTTAATACGAATCTTCATTGCACATCGTATTGCTATATCCATTTACTTTACAGTCCTATAGCAAAATCTTAAATCGGAAGATTAATTTTTGAGATATCGGTGTTTAAAAGTAAGCATATTTTCAGAAGTAGTAATTTTGACTATCTCTAGATAAGAGAATTTTGTCATAATCATCCCCTAAGGAGGCAGATAGTTACCGGCAAGTTTAACTGAAGATGAATAAACCGGGCCTAAGAGAGACCCTGTATGTATTTTGAGTCGTCGTACAATAATTCGACTTTAAAGTTGACATTTTGAGTACTTCGACTTTAAAGTCGAAATTTCGACTTTTTTCTCAAAATTTTAACTTTTTTCTCGAAATTTCGGCATTAAAGTAGAAAATCTTGGTAGGTAATTCGACTTTAATGTCGGAATTTCGACATTAATGTCGAAGTGGATTATGTTTTTTATATGTGGCACTTCTACATCGTACATCGGTGAAGTCACCGATTAGAATAAAAACCAGGGGATTGCTACACATCCAATACACATTGACATTGACAAGCAAGCAAATGTTGGCGGGAATATGAATGTTTTCATACTTTATCGTCCATCAATTTTAATTGAAAACGTCAATTAACTTCAACATACTTGTGAAACAAGTATTAGTTGCATGCGTTCGGTATCGAAATTTCAGTACAGTGATACATGATACAGACAGCGATACCATCTAATAGACTGAAGATACAAATACAAGTACAAGTTACAAGTGACAAGAGACAAAAATATAATAACACGTGTGTATTAATGCTGGCGAAATAATATATATTCTCGAATATAATAATATTCTCCAGAATATTCTATTTTAAATATTAAATAATAGAGGTATAAAATTTTCCATAGCAACAACACCCAATATGCCGCGCCACTTGATAGCAATCCTAATTGGTCGAACGCATTCTAGAATTCAATTCTGATTGGTCGAACACGACTCCGGAATTCTAGGCTTTTCCTTGAATATGTAAAAGAGACCACAGAGTCGCATTGTTAATCAGTTACGCGCAACAGTTTGTAATATTAATAAGAGCGTCGTGGCAAGCTCAGTTTTTGAAGTTTTGTTTTTGGCTGCGGTCAAAAAATCATTCACACAACTGTAAATTTGTAAATAGTAATGCAAAGTAGTGAAGTAGTTCTGTGAATAAATACTTAGTGGTGTAAATAAGACAAAACCAGCGTTTAATTTCAATAAAAACAGCGAAGAATTCAATATACAGTCCACTAATAATGAACACCACGACAAATGTTATATATAACAAAGAATAAATGGATACAAGATACAATTTACTTACCACGCCAATATACAAAATTTCGATTTTTCGGTATTTTGTATCTGTCACTTGTACCTTGTAATTGTCATTGTGTCTCCAGCCATACCGATACAGCGATACTAATGGGTCAATTCTGTGCACATCTGTAAGCAATTCTATAAATTTCTATAAGCCTATAGCTGCCTAAAGACCATTTGTAATTCTGCAACTTTCTGCAGATTATAGAATATATTATAGGATGGTAAATATTTCCAATGGAGTGTTTGGCAATTGATGCGTTTTGCAGTGTCTATAGACTTACAGAAATTTATAGATTTGCTTACAGATGTGCACAGAATTGACCCGTAAGACCGTAAGACAGACAAATACACAGTGAGATTTCTATGAATATACTGATACTTGAAACATGTATCGATACCGATCTCAACGTGAATGGGACCCTTTACTGATACTCTGAGACTGATACTGAGACCAGAGATACTGGGACAAACTACTCGAGAAGACTGATAATCTCTGACAATCTGTCACCGGACGTGAACCCTCTACCTGAGATTCACGTGCTTGATATCGATACCTGCACTCTCTACCTGGTGATTCACTTTGCCTGATATTTGATACCTGAACCCTCTACCTGGGATTCACCTGGCTTTTTTCCGGTCTATTCAGAACTCAAAAAATTGTGTTCTGAATAGACCGTAAACCCACACACATCAATACTTACTGATAAATCATTGATAAATCGCAAAATCGCCTTGCGGTCGTTGACGACTTTAACAATTTTCTTTGTTTTCAAAGGTTTTAGGTGATGTTAAGGGTGAACAAATCAAAAAATTCCTGCCAAACATTGGACTCAAAAACACCACCAATATAAGCGCAAATGTAGAATTCCTGGATTTGGAAGTCCTAGGAGACATCTTTATACAAAACAATTTCAATAACACTGAATTCAACAGTTATCTCAACAACATTATTTTAAAGGTAAATTCTTCGAATATAAAAATTCAACTATTAAACAACTGTTCTAGGATGAAAAATCTGCAACAATTACAGGCCTCAAAAGTTTCCCTCAAGGTTTCACAACCCGCAAAAACCTGCAAATCAAATCAGGCCTAATCAACAACATTTCCATAAGTTCCATTGTTACCAAAGACACTGATCAGCTTTTAAATATTGAAACTATTTCAGGCAATGTTGATTTCAACAATTTACAAGTCAAAGGGTTTTTAGATGGGCAAAATATTACTCAACTTAATAAAACTTCAATTAAAACTTCCCAAAATCAAACGATTGTTTCTGAATTAATATTCGAAGAAATTTTGCATGTAGAACATTTAATAGCTAACAAATCAAGCAATATTACTGATTTATTAAGTAAAGGGGGTTTCAAAAATGTTATCGTAGAAGGCAACTTTGAAGGTGAAATCAAGGAGTTTGATTTGAAACATCTGGAAGAGAATTATCTAATGTATACTTTTGATCAAACCATTAATCAGCCCTATTCTATTGAGGCAATGAAAGTTCATAAGTTTAAAATAAATTCTATAAACAATGTTAGTTTTGATGATATATTTGCATACGATAAGTTTGTTAATAACATAACAGATTTGTTATCTTATAGAAATGCTAGTGTAGATGGTAAGACATTTTATTATTCATATAAATCAAACTAAAAATATTTTGGTTTTAGTTATTAATGTTAAGGGAGCATTAGATGTCAAAAGAATAAACGATGAAGACTTTTATAAAACTATTGATGATCATATTTGGAATAAGTTACATCAAAATTCCAGTCGGTTGACAATCGAAGTGAGTATTTTAATGAATTTTTCAAAAGTTTCTAATGGGAATTGTATCTAGGATGATGTTTTTTTCGAAACACTAAACATCCAAAACTTAGCTGGAGCTAACTTCAACAACTACATCGACAACTTAATATTCAAAAATGACACACAAATGAAACTTGAAGGCTCCCTTCATTTCAAAAATGGCCTAATCGTGGATAAATTAATTGAAACTTTGACTCTGAATCATATTGCATTGGAAAATATTCTTAGAAAAACTGGAAATCAAACTATTGCTGGCCTAATTACAATTGCAGGCAATGTTAACATTGAAGATGATGTTACAATTAAAGAAACTATTAATAGAGTTGAAATAACTTACATGTTGGAGAACTTTGAGTTGGGTGAAGAAACCTTATTGGTAAAAGGCGAAGTACTATTCAATCGATTATCTTACATCCAAAACCTCACTATTAACGGTTTAATAAATGGACAAAACTTCAGTAAACTGAAAAATCAATTTGCCTATAAAGATCAGGACATTCATCTAATGAAAAATATTACATTCAACAATACAGTTCAAATTAAAGGCAATTTATGGGTGAAGAAAGACATAAATGGCATAGTTTTGTCAGATTTTGTCCCAAGGGTAGTTTGGCTTACGAAAGATGCTGAAATAAAGGGACCAATTAGATTTGTTCAACCTGTAGAGTGCTATAAATATTTAAAGGTTGAAAATGAATTGAGTACTGCATTATTTCTTGGTAAAAACTTGCAGGATGTTATCAATGAAGGTGTATTTATTGATAGAGGTTTGCTTAAAGGTAAGTCTATTTTAACAATCAATTGTATTTAATAAACAATCATTTTTTTTTCTATAAGGCTCTTTCCAATTTGAAACCATAACAATTCATGAAGATTTAAAAACAAAATTCATTAACTCTTTGGATATGGATACTCTTGTATACTTGAAGACACCTCAGCAATTGAATGAGCTTGATATTGCTGAAATGTCAGTGGCTAATGATTTTAATGTAGGTAACAATGTAAATGAAGTAAATTTGATGGTTGAAAGGGATAGGACTTTATTGGTGAGTCATTAATAATTTCTATTTTCTTATAATATATTGCTTCACTTTAAATTTTAATTGTAGAGCAATGTTGAACAATATGTTCCATCAGAAATAGTATTTTTGAAAAACGTTATAGTCGAAGAGAAATTAATTGCTAAATTGATAAATAAGAAACCAACATCGAAAATCGTAACAACAAATACTGAGCAAAATTTAACAGCTTTGTACAATTTTAATTCGAAAACTTGGTCACATGGAAACATAACAGGTAAGCAATTATACATTTGGAAAATTTATTCTATTAAATTCTTCTACAGTTGATGGTCTAATTAATGAAATTAATCTAACATCATGGAAAGGAAACATTATTTCATCTAATTCAGAAGAAATGTTGCATATAAAACAAAAATGGCATGTAAAAGAGAATCTCAATTTGGCTAGGCCCCTTAAGGGACAAGAACTTATTAACGGTATAAATATGAGGCAACTTGCTAGAAATATCCAAGAAAGGGAGCTTTACTTATGTGATATTGAAACAAAAATTATAGTAAGTAATTTTGGATTTATTTGCTAATCTTTTGATGATTTTATATTATAGAACGATTTTTCAAATATTTGCAAAGACATAACTTACCTCTACAAACACGCAAAACACCAAATCTACAAATTCAAATATTTCGAAGAACTAGAAACATTAAGGCTCCCAAATCAGATACACTTTGTAAAACATTTCCAATTTAATTCAAGAAACTATTTGTTAATCAACGAAAAACAAAGTTGCTTTTCCAAATTGATGGAATTCAATGGCCGAGAAGGATTTTTGGAATTGAACTCCTTGCAGACAGGAGTGATTGATCAAATTGAAATTCTGAACGACAAAGAAGTGTTTTTGATGGTCACACGAGGATCGGAAGATGATAATTTGAGTTGCAATATTAGATTTTCGACGGTTGTATGGAGATTTAATAAAGAGGAAGAATTAGAGGTGAGTGAGAGAGCCAGTTCCAGGCTTTTGTCACAGTGGGGTTTAGATTTGATTTAAATACCCAAATTTGTTTCAGATTGTTGCAACGCACGAATCCCAAGAATTACTCCATAAACAGCCCAATATTCCGAACGTATTTTATGGGCTAAAAAATCAAGTGGTAACAGAGTTTAAGATAAATGTGTCAAAAGAACCAGCATTATTGCAAAAGTACAAAAAATGGAACATCAATGAAGGTATAGTAAAGTTGAGGGGTGAACCGCAAGGGAAATTTGGTGTACGATTAAAAAAAATCATAAGAAAGCCAAAGGAAATCAAGGGACTCAGGGAAAATCTTAAGGAAACCATGGAAAATCTTAAGGAAATTGCGCCGGTTTGAAAAATCTTGATAATTTGGGATTATGTTATTAGGAGAACTCCTGGGCAATCTTACTGATAATCAGAAGAAATCAAGGGAAATCAGCCATGATTTCCTCTTAAACCACAATCTCTGTAAATAATAATTTCTATCGCTATGGCGCTTGCTGTCTTCTATCTTTATTCGTACCAGAGTCTTAGCCCTGGTGTACAAATTTGGCGAAACCAAGACAATTTAAGACAATCAGAAAAAATCATAAGGGAACCAGCGGAAATCAAGGAAAATCCTAAAGAACTCATAGAAAATCTCAAAAAAATCATGAGAAATGTCAAGGAGATCAGTCAATCTCTAGATCTAACGCCTATGGTTTCTTTTTAAACCGCAATCTGATGTCCAAAATTGGGGACATCAGAGGAAATCTAAGGCAATCAGAGACAATCATAAGGAAACCAGCAGAAATCAAGGGAAATATTAGTAAGGAACTTAAGGAAATCTCGAGGAAATCAAACAATCTAACGCATGCGCAGTTTTCTTACTGGTAAGCAGAAAAAATCAAGGGAAATCAGCCATGATTTCCTCTTAAACCCTACCCTCTGTAACAGATAGAGATCATAATTTCTATCGCTATGTCACTTGCTGTCTTCTTCTCTCTTTTCGAAATCAATAGAGAAGAGACGTCGATAGAGATAGAAAAACTATCTTTATTCGTACCAGAGTCTTAGCCCTGGTGTACAAATTTGGCGAAACCAAGAGGACATCCAAGGAAATTTAAGACAAACAGGGAAAATCATAAGGGAACCAGCGAATATCAAGGAAAATCCTAAAGAACTCAGAGAAAATCTCAAAAAAATCATGAGAAATGTCAAGGAGATCAGTCAATCTCTAGATCTAACGCCTACGGTTTCTTTTTAAACCGCAATCTGATGTCCAAAATTGGGGACATCAGAGGATAGCTAAGGCAATCAGAGACAATCATAAGGAAACCAGCAGAAATCAAGGGAAATCTTAGTAAGGAACTCAAGGAAATCTCGAGAAAATCAGACAATCCAACGCACGCGCAGTTTTCTTACTGGTAAGCAGAAGAAATCAAGGGAAATCAGCCATGATTTCCTCTTAAACCGTAATCTCTGTAACAGATAGAGATCATAATTTCTATCGCTATGTCACTTGCTGTCTTCTTCTCTCTTTTCGAAATCAATAGAGAAGAGACGTCAATAAAGATAGAGCAAATATCTCTATTCGTTACAGAGTCCCAGCCCTGGGCCTGGGGTACATATTTGAGGAAACCAAGAGGAAATTCAAGAAAATCTAAGACAATCGGGAAAAATGATAAGGAAACCAGCAGAAATCAAGGAAAATCTTAAAGAACTCACAGAAAATCATTAGAATTTTCAAGGAAATTAGTCAATCTCTAGATCTAACGCCCATGATATCCTCTCAAACCGCAATCTGGTGTAAAAATTTGAGGAAATCAAGAGGACATCCAAGGAAATTTAAGACAATCAGAGAAAATCATGAGGGAACCAGCGGAAATCAAGGAAAATCCTAAAGAACTCAGAGAAAATCTCAAAAAAATCATGAGAAATGTCAAGGAGATCAGTCAATCTCTAGATCTAACGCCTATGGTTTCTTTTTAAACCGCAATCTGATGTCCAAAATTGGGGACATCAGAGGATATCTAAGGCAATCAGAGACAATCATAAGGAAACCAGCAGGAATCAAGGGAAATCGTAGTAAGGAACTCAAGGAAATCTCGAGAAAATCAGACAATTCAACGCACGCGCAGTTTTCTTACTGGTAAGCAGAAGCAATCAAGGGAAATCAGCCATGATTTCCTCTTAAACCGTAATCTCTGTAACAGATAGAGATCGTTATTTCTATCGCTATGTCACTTGCTGTCTTCTTCTCTCTTTTCGAAATCAATAGAGAGAAGACGTCGACAGAGATAGAGAAACTATCTTTATTTGTACCAGAGTTTTAGCCCTGGTTGTACAAATTTGGGGAAACCAAGAGGACATCCAAGGAAATTGGAGACAGAGAAAATCATAAGGGAACCAGCAGAAATCAAGGGAAATCCTAAAGAACTCAGAGAAAATCTCAAAAAAATCATGAGAAATATCAAGGAAATCAGTCAATCTCTAGATCTAACGCCTATGATTTCTTCTTAAATCGCAAACTGATGTCCAAAATTGGAGACATCAGAGGAAATCCAAGGCAATCAGAGACAATCATAAGGAAACCAAAAGAAATCAAGGGAAATCTTAGTAAGGAACTCAAGGAAATCTCGAGGAAATCAGACAATTCAACGCACGCGTAGTTTTCTTACTGGTAAGCAGAAGCAATCAAGGGAAATCAGCCATGATTTCCTCTTAAACCGTAATCTCTGTAACAGATAGAGATCGTTATTTCTATCGCTATGTCACTTGCTGTCTTCTTCTCTCTTTTCGAAATCAATAGAGAGAGGACGTCGATAGAGATAGAGAAACTATCTTTATTCGTACCAGAGTTTTAGCCCTGGGTGTACAAATTTGGCGAAACCAAGAGGACATCCAAGGAAATTTAAGATAATCAGGGAAAATCATAAGGGAACCAGCGAATATCAAGGAAAATCCTAAAGAACTCAGAGAAAATCTCAAAAAAATCATGAGAAATATCAAGGAAATCAGCCAATCTCTAGATCTAATGCCTATGGTTTCTTTTTAAACCGCAATCTGATGTCCAAAATTAGGGACATCAGAGGAAATCTAAGGCAATCAGAGACAATCATAAGGAAACCAGCAGAAATCAAGGGAAATCTTAGTAAGGAACTTAAGGAAATCTAGAGGAAATCAAACAATCTAACGCACGCGCAGTTTTCTTACTGGTAAGCAGAAGAAATCAAGGGAAATCAGCCATAATTTCCTCTTAAACCGTAATCTCTGTAACAGATAGAAATCGTTATTTCTATCGCTATGGCACTTGCTATCTTCTTCTCTCTTTTCGAAATCAATAGAGAAGAGACGTCAATAGAGATAGAGCAAATATCTCTATTCGTTACAGTCCCAGCCCTGGGGTAGGGGAGACTGTTGTATACTGGGACAATATTTTTCTAATTGAAATAAAAAAATTGTTGAATAATTTTTAACTATTGTGAACATTCTAATATATTTAAAAGTAGTTTGTTTATTAACAATTATAAAAATTTCAACAACTTTTACACTTTAACATAGAAAAAATTGAATGTCCCACTATACACCACTTTCCCACTATACAACCACCCCATGTTGCATACTGGGAATGATGCATGGGTATAGTGGGACAATGTTTTTTGATCCAAAATAAGTAATTATAAAAAAAAAATCCGTCGCTTATTCACAAAATGATAGAACTTCGACATAAATTAAGTAGGTAGCCAAACTTATTTCGAATTCGAAAAAGTTTGAACATTCTTCTCCGGCGATTTCATTCTCCGTCCATGTTTTTGGATTTATTTTAATTTGCGATGGCAAATCTATAAGCCAACTTTCTAGGTTTTCTGCTAGTTAAACTGTAGCACCTTCGTGAAGAAGTAACTGAATATTTGCTAAGCATTGGCTCTTCATCGTCACTGAAAATCTGCTTGACACCAATGACACCATGTTGCCTTTTGAAAATTTAATTCCTGCGTGTTTGCTTCATTTATTTTGTGCTTCTTTCTATGCAACGCTGATTTGCTAACTCCAAATTGAACTGCAGCAGTCTTAATATTGGTTTCATTTTTAAGAACACCATCTACCGCCGAGTCTACCGCCTTCCCCAGCATTCTCAAAGTGAATTTTCCGACTCTCAAAAAACGATTTCTTGTTTTTGCGGCCCCTATTTTTATCAATTTCTGGAAGAAAGAGGGTATTGAAACTAGGTAAAATACGAAAGTGTTCTATTATAGAGCAGATAAAATGTTTGTCCCAATATGCAACCCAGAAATTCTGTCCCAGTATACACTGTCCCACAATACAACCTTATACGCTTTTTGAAATTTTCTGAATTTGAGAAAATATGAACAAATACTAGAAAAAAATAACCTTAATTCACCTTCAAGACACCTTCGGGCATAATTATCCTCAAATTCAGGACAAACTATTGGATATTACTGGCATAAACTATGCCCAACACGTGGTCGTAAAAAAAAACTTTGTCACTTTTATGCTTACACTAACGAAAATCCCGCCATATTGAAGACTCTAACGGCCAATGCCAAGGTTATATCTAATGCTCATATATGAAGCAGTTGACACAATTTTTTTCGGAATTTTAAGCGATACCGGTGGCGGACAATTTGAATTGTCCCACTAAGGAACCTGTCCCGATATACAACAGTTTCCCCTATATAGGTATTTGAGGAAACCAAGAGGAAATTCAAGGAAATCTAAGACAATCGGGAAAAATGATAAGGAAACCAGCAGAAATCGAGGAAAATCTTAAAGAACTTAGAGAAAATCGTTAGAATTTTCAAGGAAATTAGTCAATCTCTAGATCTAACGCCCATGATATCCTCTTAAACCGCAATCTGGTGTACAAGTTTGAGGAAATCAAAAGGAAATCCGAGGAAATCTAAGGCAATCAGAGAAAATCATAAGGAAACCAGCATAAATCTTCAGGAACTCAGTGGAAATCTTGGAAAAAACATGAGAAATCTTAAGGAAATCAGTCAATCATTAGATCTAACGCGTGCATAGTTTTCAAAAATCTTCATAATTTGAGTATAACATAAACTCAAACTCAGTGGATCTTTTGGGCAATCTTATTGGTAATCAAAAAAAATCAAGGGAAATAATCCATTATTTCCCGTAACCGAAATCTGGTGTAGTAATCAAAAAAAGCAATCAGGAAAATAATAAACAAATCAGTGGAAATCATAAGGGAATCTTAAAAATTAAATAATAACAATATGCGTCACAGAGTCCTGTGGTGTACAAAAACTGACCTGCGGTTTACCCCTTCATTAAAATGTTTGAGTATTAATTATAAATGATGAAACATTCTAGATAATGCCCGTTTTATTCCATTCGGTAATGAACTAACATTAGCAACCGATAAAACATTATTTTTCCTTGGCGATTTCGAGAATATTGCTGACGAAAAAGTTGATATAAATATTGAAGCAACTATTGTAAGTAATTTCACCAAAAAATCCAATAATGTTATTCCTAGAAGAGGAGATGGAGAAATCGCTGTAGTCAGTGTTGGAGTGAATAAGAAAAAAATGCTGGCCCTAGCTGGTCATAAGGAAAGCCAAGTAGAGCACCGACTTGATGTTTTAGAGGCAATTATAAATAATTTATCAAAACAACTACCCCATTAACTGTTATATATTTCCAGATATACTCCAACCCATTTACAGCTGAAGTATTTGATAAACTATCAACCTACAGGCCTTTAGGATTAACCTCAATCGACTTCAACAACGGAGAAACCCTTTTAGCATTCATGGAAAACAGAAAAATCCTACAGATCTACGAATATAAAGGCATCGAGGGCTTCAAGCATAGATCCTCAATAAAAATTCAAGCCGATCAGATAGTTCACATGGATTTGGGCTTCGAAAATGTCTTAGGGTTGATTTATAAAAACAAAATTACATTCTTGCAAGCCGTTATGGCTGGAAACAGGCTTGATGGGGATGATTTAAATTGTGAAAATTAATGTATTGTTATATATATTTTAAATATATGTTTATTTATTGTTTGAAAAATTATTGTGACGTCTTTATTAATTAATAAGTAACACGCAGAATTACTTAATTTTTACGTGGCTGGTTGGAGAATTTTCAAATACAATAAATCCTACCTTCAATTGATAAATATAAAATACAATGAAGTTTTTTTTTTGTTAAATTGTATTTGGCTTATATCATAACAACAGACTATACATAATAATTATTAAACAAACTAAATTTTATATATAATTCAGATTTAAAATGCGTGATAGTAATAGTTGTTGATTACCAAAATTTCCAGCCAACAATTTATTAATGCCGAAAATTGTAGTAGATCTGTGATTTCATCAAAAATGGCTTTTGGTTTAATTCAAATTCCCCATGACAAAAATGATGGAAAGCAGTTGACTCAATATTTGGCAGTTATTAGTGGTGAGTGAAAATTTATAATCAAAACATACAAAAGTTTTCGAAATCAATCTATTATAGCATCTTTCGCTGTCTTCACTGTTGGCATATACCAAGGATGGAGCAGTCCTTCTTTGATAAAAATTTTCTCAGATGAATATCCCATAGACGTAACAGATGAAGAAGCCTCTTATATTACAATCATTGGGAACATTGGGCATGTTTTTGCTGGATTTCTAGCATCATATTTATCTGATAGAATTGGGAGGAAGAGCACTATGCTGGCAATAGCTATACCCCAGGTAAGAATATTTGAGACTCTACCAATCTATATTTTTATGTCAGTCCAAAGATGTTTAGGTACTAATAGACAGCAGCTTTTTCATTGACAGCATAGGTACTGTCTTATATTATTTAACATCCACTATAGTCGTGGTAGGTGCTCAATGACGTCTACTACTTCCGCTTTTTGATCTCATTGCAAATTTCTTATTTTGTGTCGACAGATTACCAGCCTTATCTCTGTTTGAATTCAAGACTATTTAGTAACATATCAGGCGATATACACACGTGTTATAAACTATTCATTCAAGGTTTATTGGCTCACTTTTATCTTTCAAGATACGAGGTCGCGTTTTCCAAAGCCAGCTTGTCTGTTGAAAACGTATATTTCTGAACATTTTCTATACTAAAATGCTAAATTTCTAAAACCAAGGAAAGGAGGCTGTGTGCATGTGTACAGATAAGGAAAGAAACAAAGTGCATTTCATGCAAATTTGCATGCACTTTGTTTCTTTTCAGATTTATAACCAACTGAAAACTTTGTAGTTGCCTTGAAAAGACAATATGTTTCAAAATTACATTCCTCCTAATATAACCAAAAAGTCTAGGGCACTAATGTTTGAATTATGTGTTTTGATAATTTACTGTGAATCATCTACAACTTACTAAATAATAATGTTTTGCAGATCCTCTCCTTTGGTCTCATCTATATGTCATTCTACAGCAAAACTCTCCTATACATCTCCAGAGTTTTGGGTGGTATGGGCGAAGGTGCCGTCATAGCAATCTTGCCCTGTTACATTGGTGAAATTGCTGACTCCAACGTGCGAGGAACCCTTGGAGCTTTCATTGGTGTAGTGCTCACACTTGGAATAATTTTCATCAATGTTATTGGTAAGTATTTTGTTTCATAACTATACATACTATAATAATGGCTTAACTTTTTAAAGGTTCTCTATTGACAATCCACGAAGTTGCATTGGTGTGCCACATTTTCCCAATTATATTTTGGTTGACCTTCATCGGAATGCCAGAGAGTCCTTATTATTGTTTGATGAAAGAGGATAAAGATGGTGCCAAACTATCCATACAGATGCTTCGTAGGAAACAAAGTGTGGACAAAGAAATTCTTCAACTATCCTCCGATGTCAATCGTCAGATGTCTGAAACAGGAACTTTTAAAGATCTCTTTGCAATTCAGTCAAATTGTAAAGCCTTTTTGCTTGTGGCTGCTGCAAGATTTTTTCAAGCTTTTAGTGGTATTGGAGCTATACGTTCCTACAATCAAATGATAATAGCTCAAACCACCAACTTTTCACCTCTTATTGGATCAACAATAATTCTTTCAGCAAATTTAATAATGATGCTAATATCTTCATGGTATATTGACAAAATTGGCAGAAAACCCATGTTTGTTATATCTGCATTTCTAACATTTTTGATACACTTTTCACAAGGTATATTTCTGACAATCCAAGATTATACATCGGTGGACTTGTCGCAGTGTTCCTGGGTACCATTGCTGACAATAATAGCTTGCAATCTTACATTTGCTGGTGGTTTAGGACCAGGAGTGAATGTTTTTATTGGCGAAATCTTCTCGACCAGCATTAAAGCTAAAGCAATGTCGGCTTGCAGCTTTGTATTCGCCTTGAGTTATATGTCCAGCATCAAAGTCTATCAGTATACAAACGACAATGTTGGAACTGCAGTACCGTTTTATATTTTTGGTACTACAACGCTAATAGGAGCTGGGTTTTTTGCATTTGTATTGCCGGAAACTAGGGGGAAACCTTTGGAAGTGATACAGCAGGAATTGAAGGGGAATGTTGTAGAATGGAAGGTGTGACTGGGTGGATAGTTTTTGTACTTTTTTATATTGTTGGTTCTGAATAAATTAATTTTTATTTTATTGTTGTTAAGAACTTTTGCACCATATCATTATGAAACTGAGCATTGTGACTATTGTGAGAATGATACTGTTTCATATCGTCCCTTGTCGTATCTCATTTTTTTCCAAAATTTCAAAGTCTGTCTGGAATTTTGTTGTTTTATGTACTTTAGCTTCACGAAGTATCATATCTAAATCAATATTACTTTATGAGATATGTAGGTCATTTGAAATTATTGGCGTATATCTTATTATAAACGTTGATGATTTTTAATTCTAACGAACAGATGTAAGTCGAGTTGCGACTATTGGTGAGATTTTTGAATTCAAGAAACACCCAGTGATAATTACTATATAAATTGAACAGGAACACTGAATTTTTGATGACGTAGGTACCTATCCTAGGTATACGGATTTAAATGTTTAACTCGATTGCACTTATTCGGGCGCTAGTGTTTTGTGCTCTCCATTCAAGTTTTTTTTTATTAGTTATTTTGTTAAATGTGGTTAGATGAAAAGGACTTATACCTATACAAACGAAATTGGGGTCAGGATTCTTCACAACTGGTTTCTCTTGAGAATATGCCACTGGCACGTTTACAAAAATCGTACATTAAACATAGTATTGTCGAAAATGAAATTTATTCTTTTGAAGACGACCTCCCATTAATTATTAATTAAATTTGTGAAGTCCATTACCAAGGAAATAAATCATAACGAAAACGATCCAGACGCAGATCCGAATTTCCTGAATATGATGATGAAATATTTAGTTCCTGCCAAATGGCTTCGTTATACACATTTTATAGATGATGTATTATGATAATTGCCGAAACCATTGTGAGTCAGTTTCCTAGAAATCAAGAAGTACCTACCCAAGGTTCTAATGGTGATTATATTATCGAAAGTACCTATAGAACTTGGTACAGTTGACAAAATTGATAACTAAGCCACTGAAATTCTGAAAAATCAACCTCAAACCATCATTTCATTCATATTCAATGCCCAAAAAAAAATATTAATTGAATTTGATAAAAATGCAAGGAAAACAAGTTAAGAATATTTTGCAAAAAGCAAAAACAAATTGGATCGTTAATTAATGAAAAATTGAATAGGAAGGTATTTTGCTAATGCAATTACATATTCGATTAAGCAAAAAATCTAGGATTTTGAATCAAAAATCTAGAATTTCAGTGCAAAAATCCAGGATTCCACCTTCCGCCAAAGAACCAGTGATGACGTAGACAGCATGTCATGTCTCGACGCCAATTATCATTTTATAAATAACACTTTCTCAGATCTCGATGACATTTTCCTCTTTGCTTTGCCTAGGTATTAGGTATTATGTTAATCAAAATGAAATAAAATTTTTCATCATAAATGTATAGGTACTCATTCTAAACTATGACCAGCTGACGACGTAGTTGATGACGTCGGCAATGGTGCTACACAAAATGGCCGCGATTCCCAAAAACGAAGCCAGTAAGCAATCCTCTGTAGTAATGTGTATCCTTGGTAAGAATTTTCAATTTAGGGCACCAAAATGGCGGCGCGGGGGCGTGGCTTACTTTTATTTTGGATTTTCACAATATATCCTTATGAGCCACATAATGGCGGCTTACTTCCATTGTCATCACTTGTTGGTAAAAAGGTTTATCGCGAGTAACTGTAATTTTTATTTTATTTCCTCATCATCTATAAAAGTCTCATAAGTATCAATCTACCCCAGCTTGATGGCGCTATCAATTACGTCATTTACATCACATTTAAGTAGTGCACTGTGCCTAATCTCAAACGAATATGCACAATTTTTCATTGGTTGGATGCACACTTGACAATTTTCCTGGAACAACCCTGGTTATCGAGGGGAAAAGAAGCGTGATATCTTCTTCTATCACACGACCATTGAGTTACTCATCGTATCGAGATTTATCGATAAATGATCGATTTTTCGTTTTTTTGAAATTTTATCGCCTATAAACTAAAATCGATCTGAAATAATTAAGTTGGTTTGTTATGTTGTCACAATCAATTGTAAATTTTAACCTAATATATTTTGGTGTTTTTCTTGCAAACGTACTATTAAACCTACACTAAAACTGTAAGTTAATAAGTAATTTATAGATCATCCAATTGGCTCCAATTTGGAAATTGACAAAGTCATGAGGAGGCAAAATATGAAGCACTTTAAAAAAAAATTAAAATCTTATGTAGCAGGGACCTGTATTACCGGCCTACTTGATTAATGGCGTTTGCATTATCTTGAACTCTTTCTCTAAGCCTGGTATAGAGAAAGCCTGCTTGATCAAAAAAACCCTTTTTTAACATAAAATTACTATACACTATACACAAAAAAAGCCTCTGTTTTATAATAAATTAGTTTTCTTGGTACTTACGGGTACTCACTCCTTAAACTGTGGCCCACGCTCGGAAATTCAGTTTTTCGGGCAAAATAAACACCGAATTCGAACCGCGACACTTTTCCGAATACCTTAGAGTACTTTTTCCTATTGAAAACTGGAAAATTCGCCGGAAAACCGGAGGCCGAAATAGAAACGCGTTGGTTATTTTTCACTTATAAATGGCCGACTGTCAAGTGTCAAAATTGCCATTCCAAAGCCTACTTGATTAAAACCTATTATTGAAAAAAGCTTATAATTATATCAATTTTGATGCAATTTAACTCAATTAGGCCCTAATTAGATATTTTACTCGATTTTAGGTGTTTTTTTGGGGCTGAAGATTGCAGCGCCATCTCGTGACAAATCAGTGTAGTTCCATTATTGTTTCAAAATGGCTTACGCGATTTTATTTTTATTGTCGGTTTTTTGTTGCATTTTTCAGTTTTCCATAATTTTATTAAACATTATCAATTATTTATTTAACTGAATTTTCAACAAAAAACCATTAAAATGTAATTTTTTCCTATTTGAAATGTGGCAACGTCGCTTTTAATCAAGTAGGCTTTGTAATGAAATGTCATTTGCCACTTCTCTTTTGACAGTCGGTCATTTTTAATTGATTTGTTTACATTTTATCCAGTATTTCCTCGAATTATCAGGCCGTTTTCATTCGGGAAAACTGGTTTAAAATACGAGGCTCAATTTTCCGCCAAAAATTTCCAGTTTTTCAAGGAGGTAAGTAACAAAACTCAAGTTTTATCAAGTAGGCTTTGGAAAGTTATTTTTACTGGTTTTTCTTTGGATTTTCCGCTTTTCTAGGCCGTTGTCGAGGGGAAAAACCGATTTAAACTACGAGCAGTGGCGGCTCGTGCCTCTGAAAAGAGGTGAAGCAGACCGAGAAGCACCACAGACGTTTTTTTTTTTTTTTTTTGGCGCATCCGCCATTTTATGAAAAGCTGAAATTCAAATTTAAAATAAAATAATCAAACGGGTATATCAAGTAATGTTACTCACCAGAATTGTTTTATTTCTTGAATACAAGGTCAATTCTTCTATTTTTCAAACTTGCAAACTTGTTAATAATATCATCATAGAACGGTTGCGTGTTTATTAACTCGTTCAAAAATTCCTTCTCGATCGAAATTCTTGCTAAATTTGTAAGTCTTTCTTCCGTCATTCTATTACGAAGATAAGTTTTCACTCTTTTCAAACAAGAAAAACTTCGTTCAACGGAAACGCTCGTCGATGGGATAGTTACTATTAAACAAAATAGTTTATAGGCTTCTTTAAAAGTATCCCTGTGCTCAAATAACTCAGCCATAAACATCTGCTGTTCCATTCCTCTGTATTTTTCGTCACCAAAAATAAATTGTAATTCATTTTTTAATCTCTGGAGGTCAGTAAATATATTAGGGTAGCATTCTTTCAAATTATTCAATGCTTCTTTACGAAAGTTTTCGAAATACATTGAAAATTTTGCAGTATCAATTAATGTCACGAATCGAATTTTCTCTAGGTCCTGAAAACGGGTGTCAATTTGTACTGAAATAGTGTCTAAGATTTCATAAAACAGAACTTTATACTTTTGAAATACTTGATCTTGGGTTAGTGTCACTCTTGTACGGCCGTCGCGTTGATCAGTTGGAACTGTTATTTTTAAAGAAGTTGCATCAAAAATACTTCTGAAAACATTATCATTTCTTTTACTGTTTAAAAGTCTTTGCGTAGTTTTAATTTGTGATATACAATAATTGATATCCAAGGACTTTTTTTGTAGCACATCAAAAAGAATATCTGTGAGAGCAAAAATTTCACCATTAATAGCCGCTAGAAGAGCAAACTCGAAGTTATTGAAAAGATTCAAAAAGCCCTGGCTCTGCCTAGTTGAAGTTTGATCCGAGGTGGGATCATTCAAAATCTCATTGAATACTTGTTTTAAAGAGTCCCATTCGTTATTTATAACACTTAAAATTTTAGAGTTGGATGTCCATCGAGTAGTAACAGCTGTGGGTATTCGTTTTTTAATTAGGGTATCAGCTATGTACGTTCGCTTTGCAGAGTGATGAAAAAATGTCGGCAAGCCGCTAACATTGGCGAAAAATATACGGCATTTTCAAATATCCTTACAACTTTGTTGAAGAACTAAATTCAAACGATGTGCCAAACAATGAACGAAAACCGCTTGTGGCGCTACTTGTTTGATTTTGGATTGAAGGCCATTTAATTGTCCCGACATCACACTAGCTCCATCAAAACATTGTCCTATAAGTTTGGTTTTGAAATCATATTTTTCGAGACAACCTATTACGACGTCGTATAATGAATCAGCAGTCCGGTTAGCACTAACATCGTAAAATCCCATGAACCGTTCCAACAACTTTCCTTCAGCGTTCACATATCTAAATATTATGCTGCATTGAGATTTCTGGACAATATCTGTAGTATCATCTACTTGGATAGAAAAGAAAGTGCATTCTTTTATTTCTTTTTCGACATATTCATCAATATACAGGGAAATACAGTCGATTAATTCATTCTGAATCGTCTTTGAATTTGCCGCAAACACGGAAGAAATTTTTTTATAGTGCTGTTGGATATCTACCGGACTTGTTAATACAAAAGCATCCAAGAGTTCTTTGAAGTTGCCTCGATTAATAGAAGACTCATCTTCGATATGACCCCGAAACGCCAATTCTTGCTTGCTCAAATATAGAGTAGTGCGAATAGGCAAGTGCATGAAACGCCTGTTCAATTGCACATTTTCATTGAATTGTTTTATATACAGCCTGGAGTTTTCCTGTAAAGCATCTTTTATTGTGTTTAAATTTTTTTTCAAATCTGTGAAACCTATGGCACAACGTATATGTTCTGATGAAGATTCGTGTTTATGAAGTCCCCGAGTTACATTACCTAAACTCGAAAAAAAAATAAGCAAATTTATCTTCAAAAATTCAAAACATCAGATTACCAAAGTCGTTAAATCCTTCCTTGTTCCAGACACCCGATTTTACACATATAATTAAACAAGGTAAACAAAAAAGTTTGTTCAAATAATAACTACCACACAACCACTTATATTCCGTGTACCATTCGATGCGAAATTTCCGCGTAAACGCTCTGTCTTGTCTTTGGATTTCGAAATTTTGGTTATGTTTAGTACAGGCAAAGGTCTATTTGAACTTAAAAAATCCTTTTTATCTTCATTCGTCCACCGCGAAAATTGTTTTTCCAACAAAACACACACCGGATCATATTCTGGAAACATGACGAGACGAATCGGCAAATAATAAAAGAAAAATAACAAATTCAACTCTGTAAAATCAAAATTATACGAACGCCAGGAGCAAAAAACTGCGAGACTGCAGCGAGACGCGCACAAAATCGCAGCCTCAAATAATAATATATTCAGCTAATCGGCGTCGGCGTACGAGCCGTTTCACGCCGTTTCCATGGCAACCGACGGGTGGTAGGAAGCGGTCCCGCCGATTCTTGAATTGCGCGTCAAGTGCCTTGGAAAAACGTAATCTGAATGCTCAGTGTTAATTTTTTCAAAGTTTAATTCTTTTTCACGGTTTGTGGCGTTCAGCGACTAGGACCAGGACCGAAATTAAAATTATTTAAAGAATTTGAATTTCAATATTTTATCTTATTGCAAAGTAGTTTGATCTATTTAAAAGTTATTAACTTATGTTAATTTAAGGTGAAGCGGCGCTTCACCTGCGTCATCCGGCGAGCCGCCACTGACTACGAGACTTTGAGTTTTCTTTATTATTTGCCAAGAGTTTCCAGTTTCAAATGCTAAAATTAATGGCGCAAGCAAAAATCATTAAAAAACAACTTTTTTAGGGAATTTCTAGTTTCAAAATCGTTGTTGATTAGGCTTTTTCAATAAATTACGATTCTTTTTTAGGTGGCAACACTGCTTGCCAACTTCACTCGGGTTCCAATCAAGTAGGTCTTAGAATGGCCTGTGACAGTGACATTTGACAGTCGATCATTTTTAGGTGTTTTTTTGGGACTTAAGATTGCAGCGCCATCTCGTATCAAATCGGTGTAGTTCCATTATTATTTATTGTCGGTTTTTCGTTGCATTTTTCAGTTTTCCATAATTTTATTAAACATTAATAATTAATTATTTAACTGAATTTTAAACAAAAAACCATTTAAAATGTAATTTTTTCCTATTTGAAATGTGGCAACGTCGCTTTCAATCAAGTAGGCCTTGTAATGAAATGTCATTTGCCACTTCTCTTATGACAGTCGTGATTTGTTTACATTTTATCCTCAAATTAGCAGGCCGTTTTCATTCGGGAAAACTGGTTTAAAAATACGAGGCTCAATTTTCCGCCAAAAATTTCTTTTTTATTTGCCAACAATTTCCAGTTTTAAATGCTAAAATTAATGGCGCAAGCAAAAATCATTAAAAAACAACTTTTTTAGGGAATTTCTAGTTTAAAAATCATTGTTGATTAGGCTTTTTCAATAAATTACGATTCTTTTTTAGGTGGCAACACTGCTTGCCAACTTCACTCGGGTTCCAATCAAGTAGGTCTTAGAATGGCCTGTGACAGTGACATTTGACAGTCGATCATTTTGAGTGTTTTTATCCCGGTTTTTCGTTAAATTTTCCAGTTTTCCGGGACTTTTCAATCGGAAAAAAATACTCTAGTGTTCGGAAAAGTGTCGCGATTCGAATTCTGTGTTTATTTTGCCCAGAAAATTGAATTTCCGAGTGGAGGCCACAGTTTTTGAGGGGTGAGTACAAGAAATTCGATTATTATGAAACTAGGCCTTTTGTGCACTGTTCCAACAAACATTAGCAGCGTTTCAGAACCAGTAATTTTCAGTTGCTCACCTATTTTTCAGTAAGTTAAACGTTTATCCTAATTGACAAATAAATGAATCGATTGGAAATTACCGTTCTAGAACGGTTATCATGTCTGTTGGAACAGAGCTATAGTATTTTATATGTTAAAAATATCGAGCAGGCAAAAAAATATGTATTTCTATCTTTTTCTTAGCCAGACTCAGAGAACGAGATGGGCTCATGTTAGAGCGCCGCCATTTTGTGCCTATTAGAGTACTCTCAGTTATGGTAAAATAAATCTAAGTTGAATCATATTCTTACAACAAATGGTTGAATGTTACCGAAAAGATAAAATCGTGTCCCCTGTAAAATTGATATACGACAGTACGTGAGATAGGGGAGGATATATTTGGTACTTACTTTGATCTTACTAGCAAGTTATGAAAATATAGAAGAATATTCAGAATGCGTTTTGTGAGAAAAACACAACTTCAAATGTCATACAGATGTCGAAAAATAAAGTTCTTAAAAACAGTAAAAATGTTCTATGTAAACTTGAGGTTTGTAAAATCGAAATTGATGAACATTTTTCCAAGGGGTATAAAGAAATTTCAAAGCATTTGACTCAACAAACGAATAACAAAATTAAATTATGTAGATTTGAACAAGAATTTTGAAATAATACAACCTCCATAAATAAATTAACAATATATTTTTCACAAATTAGTGATCGTCAGATCTAGTGACATACATATAAAGACTAAAGTACAATTAGCCGGAAAAAAGTTGTATTGTGTATGAAATCCTTTTAAAAAATTGCATGTATATATAATTTATAAAAGAACAATCAGCTATAAAATCTATGGTACTATTTTATTATTAATAAATTGTCGCAAATTGGCGTTTGCATTATTATTGCAGGGAAGCAACTAGAAAATTATATCAAACATTGGTCCGTACATTAAATATTAAGCTGAAATATTTTACACGCAACTAAAAACTAATTTAAATCACATAAAATAATATACAAAAACATATACACAAATTAAAATCTTTACAAACAAAATAAAATTTGTTTATTCTTAAATTTTTAGCCAAAAACTAATATTATATCGATTACCAAAACATTATTAAATATTTTAATCCAGTCAGTTACTACGCACATTTCCATCAGGCATATTTATATTAAGCTAGGTATAATATTAAATCACACTTTATATTGTTAAAAAACAGCATATTATAAAATCCTAAACATCTAAATTTATTACTGTATTCTGCCTGTGCTGACGTTTATTACAACGCGTTCTCTACTGTCTTCCCTGTTCGCGCTATTCCTCCTTGGTGGCGAATTTCCTGGATGCACCCTGCTTTTTCTGCTGCGCTTAAATTTGGCAACGTCTTCACCAAAAACATCTCCAGTCCTCAGAGCCGAAATAAGATCGTCAAACTCACCTGCTTTCGGAGTTTCGCCGTTTTTCAGGTTGATGTTTTTGTTGATTGCTGATAAAATACCTTCTAAACCAAAAATGTGTTAAGTATAAGGAATTAACATATTGTGGAAGATTTACCTCTACTGTGCTTCCTCTCTAAAGTAAGCTTTTTCAATTGCTCCTCTTGTTTAGCCCGTTTTTCTTCTTCCTCTTGCCTTTTTCTCATGTTTTCGTTGTCTTGCCTTGCTTCCATAAACCCAGTCAAAAACGTGTCAAACACACCAAAAAATTCATCTGGTTGAGCGTTGGATGGCTCTTCACCGAATAGTCTTACAGCTCTTTCAAATCTCGTCTATAAAAATACATAAAATATATTCCAGCAACGAAAACAAGGCCCCCCCACAATCGAATTTTCTAACAAAATTGCAACCACCTACTGTGCTTGAAGTGTGGTTTACTGTGCCGATGATATATTGAACTGTACCGTTCCGATACCAAAGTTATAGGAAAAACAAGACGAGGGGCTAACTTGATCAGCCCCCCCAAAATTTTGAAAGTCAGATCAAATAATAATGGATTCTTATGCAATCTGAAGTGTGCTAAACTGTGCCATATCAGGTTTTTCTCAAAATTTCCATATTTGGTCATTTTCCGACAAAATCCTCATGGGGGGGCTAACTTGACGCTCAGCTCCCCGAAAATTTTGGAAATCAGATCAAACAAAAATGGATTCCTATGGAATCTGAAGTGTGCTGAACTGTGCTGTATCAAGTTTTTCTGAAAATTTTCATATTCGATAATTCTCCGACAAAACCCTGCTGGGGGACTAACTATAGACGCTCAACGCTCAACCCCTCCAAAATTTTGGAAATCAGAACAAACAAAAATGGATTCTCATGCAATCGGAAGTATGCTGAACTATTCTTTATCAGGTTTTTCTGAAAATTTCCATATTCGGTCATTATCCGACAAAATCCTTATGGGGAAGCTAACTTGACGCTTAGCCCCCCAAAATCTTGGAAATCAGATCAAACAAAAATGGATTCTTATGCAATCTGAAGTGTGCTGAACCGTGCTGTATCAGACTTTCTCAAAATTTCCATATTTGGTCATTTTCCAACAAAATCCTACTGGGGGGCTAACTTGACGCTCAGCCCCCTCCAAATGTTGGAAATAAAATGAAACAAAAATGGATTCTTATGCAATATGAAATGTGCTGGACTGTCTTGTATCAGGCTTTTCTCAAAATTTCCATATTTGGTCATTTTGAAACAAAATTCTACTGGGGGGCTAGGGGGCTAACTTGAACCTCAGCCCCTCGAAAATTTTGGAAATCAGATCAAACAAACATGGATTCTCATGCAATCCGAAGTGTGCTGTATAAGGTTTTTTTCAAAATATCAGGTTTTTCTCAAAATTTCCAATTTGGTCACAAAGTCCTACCGGCAAAAGAATGACAAAAAACCTAATCCTAAACCTAACTATTGCCACCACTGAAAATTCGATACCTCGCACTACAAACCTAATTTCAAAATACTTTTCCGCACTAAAATCGAGAAAAACCATAGCGAAATACTACTACGGCCATTTTTGTTGAAAAACAAAATTTTAAAATGGCCGCCCAAGGCCTACTTTGATGTTTATTTCGAAAGGTGAAGTTAGCTACAGGGACTCAATCATATAGGCCAAGTTTTTAAATTCACCATTTGCTTATGCGCATTTCTCTTGATGAGTAACCTATCCTTGTTTTGCGCTGCTGTCCAATGATAAGGACAGCATTAAATCGGTGAAAATGCGCATATGTCATTGATGACATATTGTGCGGATTTTTAAGCAAAGGAAGAGAAATAGAGATCTATGATCTCGCATAAGTCCTTCTTTGTCAAACGAAGTAGAACGAGGTCATCAACTGCGCATGCGTTAAATGCTAGATTCTTATTAACCGGCGGTTGGCATTTTGTAACATGCTTCTTGTGCGGAGTTGTCATATCAAGTTGAGGATATTATGCGTCATTTTGACTTTTTTAAGTGGATCAAATGTCCTTCGTGCATACAGGTAGGGCGTTTCAACCAATAGGAAGGCTGGTATTTGTTTACAATTGTCAATGTCATTTACTGCGGCTTGGATTTGGAAATGGTATAGTGTAAACTATTTAGGTAAAGTGGAAAATAAACAATTTGGTGTCAAGCAGGATCACAATTTTGCCTTTGATTTTTACCAGTGTGATATTTGTTCAGTTCAAATACAAGCAAATTACGTAGTTTATACGCTTATTGGCAACCCTGCAATCAGCTGCTCAAAATTGATGCTTATTGGTGGAATTGACGCATGCTCATTAAAAAACAAAATTTTCCCTAGACAAAGATGGCATACTTTCATCTCATATTGTTTGCTTCACCAGCTCGAAACAACCAGTGGCGGATCCACGGGGGGTAATGGGGGTAACTACTCTCCCCAGAAAGGCCTTATAAAATTTTAATTATTGGAAAAACACACAAATTATTTTTTGGAAGCTTAAAATGCGTTTTGGGCGTGGCACCCGGTTACAAAAAAAGTCTGAGAGAGATAGATCCATTACTAGGTAAAAAGAAACTATATAGAGGAAGAGAGATGAAATCGATTTTTGTCTATTCCCGGCTCTTGGATTCAACTCAGTCATAAACAAATTGAATGAAAAATGACGTTCAATTCAATATTTATCTGTCAACTCCTGTTACCGAGAAATTAGTGTCAAGTGTGAGAGAGAAAAAAACCATTATTAGGTGAAAAACTATACAGAAGGAGTGAGATGAAATCGATTTTTGTCTGTTTCAGGCTCTTGAATTCAACTCAGTCATAAACAAATTGTTTGAAAAATGACGTTCAATTCAATATTTATCTGTCAACTCCTGTTACCGAGAAATTAGTGTCAAGTGTGAGAGAGATAGAACCATTATTAGGTGAAAAACTATACAGAAGGAGTGAAATGAAATCGATTTTTGTCTATTCCCAGCTCTTGGATTCAACTCAGTCATAAACAAATTGAATGAAAAATGACGTTCAATTCAATATTTATCTGTCAACTCCTGTTACCGAGAAATTAGTGTCAAGTGTGAGAGAGAAAAAAACCATTATTAGGTGAAAAACTATATCTACAGAAGGAGTGAGATGAAATCGATTTTTGTCTGTTTCAGGCTCTTGAATTCAACTCAGTCATAAACAAATTGTTTGAAAAATGACGTTCAATTCAATATTTATCTGTCAACTCCTGTTACAGAGAAATTAGTGTCAAGTGTGAGAGAGATAGAACCATTATTAGGTGAAAAACTATACAGAAGGAGTGAGATGAAATCGATTTTTGTCTATTCCCGGCTCTTGGATTCAACTCAGTCATAAACAAATTGAATGAAAAATGACGTTCAATTCAATATTTATCTGTCAACTCCTGTTACAGAGAAATAAGTGTCAAGTGTGAGAGAGATAGAACCATTATCAGGTGAAAAACTATACAGAAGGAGTGAGATGAAATCGAAAACAGCTAAATCAGCCTAAAACCAGTGCAAACCACCACAAAACCAGCAAAATTTGCCGATTTTCCCACGGTATCGAAAAAGTTCCCAGGCTCAAGTGACCCTACCCTACCTTCTAGTTGAAAATTAGGGTAATATCATATGTTATCGACAAGAATGAATTACCACACCGTTATTTATTTCCCAAGAAAAAAAATCAACATTTTATTGAGGTTTTCGCTAGTTTTAGCTAGAATCCATTTTTGTTTGACATTTCCAAAATTTTGGGGGGGCAGAGCGTCAAGTTAGCCCCTCATCTTGTTTTTCCTATAACTTTGGTGTCGGAACGGCACAGTTCAAAATGTCATCTGCATACTTCTAGCACAATAAGTGGTTGCAAAATTCCAATGTGACGAAGCCTCAAAACAACCTACCTTCATATCTTGATATTGATCTTCAACTTCAACCAACCGACAAGTGGCAGCTGCTTGGAACTCCTTCATAACCGGAACAAACTTGTCATTGGCCAAAGGACTTTGGCTTCTATGGAATTCGATTTCCCTTGCGACATCTTTCAATCCAGCTCTCAGCTGAGACATGTCTTTGCTCAACTCTCCTAGAGACACTTTGGCCGCTTCCCTTACGTGCGGCAAATCTTCATCCAAACGTAAAATGTCTTTAAACTAAAAATAATTATTAGAATTAAATAATTATTTCAGCAAATTATCAAATACCTTCTTTTCCAAAATCTGAACTAAATAATGCAACAAAGTCGTGCCTTTAGCAAAACTGCTTTTGGTGTCAGCTAATCTATTAAGTGATGCCAATTTGAAACCTGAAGCATTGCCTCTGGCGCCACGGTTCATGTAATTGCCTAAAGCTAAAACTATTTCTAACAGTCTCCTGAGCCGTCTGGATCTCGAAACTTCTCTCGAAGCCTCCATTACGCTGGTTATTCTTGGAAGAATTTCGTTCAGAGTCACTTGGAAGCGCTTTTTGTAGTGTAAACTACGGAGCCTTTGCTCATAATGAGGAACCCTAAATTGGATAATGAATTATGAATTAAAATTGTTTTGTTATATACTTACTTGGAAATTTCATATAAAAATCTATCAGCTCTAGCCAGAGAATCAATTTCATCGCTATGCTCTTCAAGTAGAGCACATTCTTCAGGACTGGGAGTGAATTTTAAAAGTTGCTCCACCATATCGATGGGTAGATTCTCTTTACTGTCCATACTAAGGATGGCTTTGGTGATGTCTTCGTCGGACATTTTCAGTTTGGAAAGTAAAATGGTGCAGTTTTGCGCTCTCCTACTATCGATAACTGAAATCACTTTGGTTTTATTTTTGCCTAGCTGTCGCAAGTCTTCTATGGAGCCCTCGTTCTATAAAAGATTCAGGTTTTATAATTATTGGATATTTAACTATTCACTTACAGCAACACCATTCTTTTGGTAAGCACTAAATAGCTTATCAATACAATCCAATTCCATAGTGTTGTATAATTTACTATCATCCAACTCGTTCCAGATTGTTCCATTGAGCTTAACATCTGGGATTTTGGACCAGTTGAATGATTTCAAGGGGTTCGATGGTTGTGGGATATTCTTTTTGACGATTTCAATCTGGAAACATTTTACGTTTATGGTATTTTGAATAATGTTGTCTTATATACGTACTTTGAGTGGTTCTGCTGGTGGTGCCATGGGAGCACAAGGTGGTGGAGGCGGCCCAGGTGTACCGCAAGGTGGCGGAGGTGGTGCCAGAGGTGGTGGAGGTGGCGGAATCGTACTCGTTAATTTCTTTGGACCGTCAGACGAGTTTATGTCTATTATAGTTTTGTTTAGGCCTATTGCTTTGGTATCGTCTGGTATGCTGCCAGAGTTGACTAGACGTTCTGAAAAAGAAAGACAATTTTTGTTTATAAATGTATTGAATACAATTGGGTGTGAGCTCAAGAAGCTAGTGATATCACTCTTTGGAAATACTACAAAGCACATACAAAAAATCACCTATCTCTTCACAATCCGGAGTCCGAACTAAAGGTAAGATTTATCACCTTTCAGTTGGTAGTTGATAGGGATTTTATTTTTATTATCTGCATAAGTTGGTAAACATTTTTATATGTCTTTGGGAGGTTATGATGACAAACTGAAAAATAGCAGAGCAGGACTGAAGCATATTTTTATACTTTGAATAAGGTACTTTTAATACCGTTGAAATGAAACAATAATCTTTTATCTCTCGTTTTGAATGCCGAAGAGAATATTGTCCATGACTCTTTGGAATGTGGACGGGGCATTTTTCAATCTAAATGGCATACGTACGAATTCTTAATGGCCATTTTCTACAGAAAAGGCGGTTTTCGAAACATCCTTGGGGTTTACTTCTATTTGGTGAAAACCTGAGGCTAAGGTCAAGGGTGGTGAAATATTGACATTTTCCCAATTGATCCGGAAAATCGGAAATACTAGGCAGCGGGTATTTTGAATGCCGAAGAGAATATTGTCCATGACTCTTTGGAATTTGGACGGGGCATTTTTCAATCTAAATGGCATACGTACAAATTCTTAATGGCCATTTTCTACAGAAAAGGCGGTTTTCGAAACATTCTTGGGGTCTACTTCTATTTGGTGAAAACCTGAGGCTAAGGTAAAGGGTGGTAAAATATTGACATTTTCCCAATTGATCCGGAAAATCGGAAATACTAGGCAGCGGGTATTTTGAATGCCGAAGAGAATATTGTCCATGACTCTTTGGAATGTGGACGGGGCATTTTTCAATCTAAATGGCATACGTACGAATTCTTAATGGCCATTTTCTACAGAAAAGGCGGTTTTCGAAACATTCTTGGGGTCTACTTCTATTTGGTGAAAACCTGAGGCTAAGGTCAAGGGTGGTAAAATATTGACATTTTCCCAATTGATCCGGAAAATCGGAAATACTAGGCAGCGGGTATTTTGAATGCCGTAGTGAATATTTTCCATGATTCTTTGGAATGTGGACGGGGCATTTTTCAATCTAAATGGCATACGTACGAATTCTTAATGGCCATTTTCTACAGAAAAGGCGGTTTCGAAACATTCTTGGGGTCTACTTCTATTTGGTGAAAACCTGAGGCTAAGGTCAAGGGTGGTAAAATATTGACATTTTCCCAATTGATCCAGAAGATCGGAAATACTAGGCAGCGGGTATTTTGAATGCCGAAGAGAATATTGTCCATGATTCTTTGGAATGTGGACGGGGCATTTTTTAATCTAAATGGCATGCGTACAAATTCGTAAGGGTAATTTTCTACAGAAAAAGTGGTTTTCGAAATATCCTTGGGGCTAAGGTATTTGTCGTCTACAGTAAGTTCGTTGATTTTACGGTAGTCGATTACGACGCGCCACTTGGGTTTGTTAGAAGCATCAAGTTTCTTAGGAACGACCCAGATGGGAGAAGACCATGGAGACATAGAATGGCGAATTATGCTTGGTCTAGCATTTTGGTTTCATGTTTATTCAGCAGAACATAACATAACATGGTATAAGGTCAAAAGTAGTCGATGTTAGAGAATGTATTTCAAAGCTCAAATGGATATGGGCAGGACACAAGGGAGGGTCAGGGGGGGGTCACTCGACCCCCCTGGAAATTTCTTAAATTTTAATTATTTTCTATATATATTATATTGTAGGTCCGATGATGCTCGTATGAGCGAAACGGGCATACTTGAATTCGGCCACAAACCAGGTAGCTTCAGTAATCCTACCTTTGAATTCGACCAAATCATGAAACCCAACCTACTTCCCATAAATCTTACCTTATGATGTTGACAGATTTCGCATTGCATATGAGTTAATAAATCTAAAAAAGTGTAAATATGTATTTTGATGCGCAAAATCAAAAGATCTACCAAAATGACTATGGAATCTTTCCATAGTCACACAAATGCCTGTGAATCTCACAGGCATTTGTTTTCTTATTCAGGTCTATCGAGGCATGTGCCATGTGTCGATGAGATAATCTAAAAATTTAACTAGAACTTCGTGATTCGGCTGAATAGCTAACAACTCGAAAACAAAGAAATCGCTAACTTCTTGATTCTCCAAAAACATCATTCCGAAACAATTATGTAACGATTTACCGATTTCTGAATCTTTTTTTTTATATTCAATGCTTAAGCCTAAGTTTTGGATCTTCCTCTACTATGCCTGAGATTTTAGCTATTTATAGGAAGTAAATAAGTTGACTTAATATCTATATCTCAGTGTACCGATTTGCATATTGATAAATTGTCACCCTTTCCTTATTCCGGAACTGGTGAATTTTGTGGCTGAGTTCAAGGATCCCGGAGCTAAACACATGTCACTATTAAGCGAATCAAATAATAAATAATCTGTGTGTTAACATGTGGCTTTTCAAATTATGTTTTTGCTTAAATTTTACATTGCAAGTGTCACATTCAAATGGATAAATATCCGAATGTGTTAGTTTGTGAATCTTTTAATCGGCTTTCCATTTAAATTTTGATTTGCAAGTGTCACATTCAAAAGGATAAATATCCGAGTGTGTTGAAATGTGCCTTTGTAAATTACTTTTCTTTCAATTTTGCCTTGCAAGTGTCACATTCAAATGGATAAATACCCGAATGTGTTAATTTGTGCATCTTCAAATCGCGTTTCCGTTTAAATTTTGATTTGCAAATGTCCCATTCAAAAAAATTAAATATCCAAGTGTATCAATATGTGTTCCTTCAAATCGCCTTCTCTTTTCAATTTTGTATTGCAAATGTTACATTTGAAATTCTCCTCATCCGAGTGTGTTAATATGTGGCTTCTCAAACTACGTTTGTGTTCAAATTTTGCATTGCATGTGTCACATTTAAAAGGATAAATATCAGACTGTGTTAGTTTGTGTCTCTTTAAACAGTCTTTTCCTTTGAATTTTGCTTTGCAAATGTCACATTCAAAAAGATAACTATCGAAGTCTGTTGATATGTGACTTTTCAAATTACCTTTTTGTTTAAATTTTTCTAATTTAAATTTTGCATTGCATATGTTGCATTTAAAATTCTTCTCGTCCAAGTGTGTTAGTTTGTGTCTCTTCAAATTGCCTTTTTTTTCAAATTTTGCTTCGCAAATGTTGCATTTACAATTCTGATTCTGCTTCTAAAAGGATAATTTAGACTGAAGTGCCCTTTTCACGCATAAAAAATGTATTCAATCGATTTTGACCCCCCCTACATATTTTTCTGCGGGCGCCCCTGGCAGGACATGTCACGAGTGGCAGCCTAGAAGTGAAAAACGCAGCACTGACTGACCTTATTGCACTCGCTGGTCAGACGATATCACAAAAATAGAGAAGAATGTAAACACCTTGAGGTGTCCATAATTTCTTCATCAGAATCAGAATCTATCAAGCTTTCGGAATCAGAATCTGACTCATTGAAGCGAATGATGATAAGGGGAATGTTTTCTAAACTAGTATTTTCCATTAATTTCTTCGAGTTTTCGTGTATCAAAGTTTCACAATGCCTAACAGAATCTTGCCACATGTCTGGAGTATAGGCAGACAAAAACTTTTTCCATAAACCTACAAATCTGTTTTTTGATGAAGCCTCCTCGTTTATGTGCTTGTTGTGAAAGTTCTTAGTAAATTCCCATGCCATCTCAATAGGATTATATTGACAATGGTATGGAGGTAATCTCAAAACTTCATGGCCATGTCTACTGAGAACCTCGCCAATCACATATTTTTTGTTCAAGATATAAAAATATGCTTCAGTCCTGCTCTGCTATTTTTCAGTGTGTCATCAAAATATGACCTTCCAAAGACATATAAAAATGTTACCAACTTATGCAGGTAATAAATAAAATAAAATCCGTATCAATTACCAAACAACCAACAATTTTTTTTGTAGTAGTAAAAAGTGGGTAGAAGCAAAAGACAAGAGAAAAGTGTAGACAGTTGTGGACAGCCAAGAAAAAGGAATGAAGCTAGGGTGTTCCATAAATCATCGATAGCCAAAAGCTTAATGGGCAAAATAAAGCCGAGGTGAAACGCAGTGGCAACTGCTCAGCATCTGACATCCATGCAAAGAAGACCAACACCACTGACATAAAAAAAAAAGTTCATCAGCTTGAGATTCTTACCTAATCTAAACCGTTCTCCTCTTTCACAGTTCACTTGCCTATCCAATTCTGCTGCTTTGTATTCGATCTCACCTAGTCTTTGTCTGGTTTCTATGTGCAAAGCGGTTTCTTTTTCTAAACGTTCTTTTATTCTGTAAAACAAGCAATTAATTTCATTGCAAATAACTATTACCTATTATTACCTGGCTAAACTGGTTTCAATGTCTTCCTTCTCCTGCGTCCTTTGATCCAATTCCAGTTCCTTTTTAGCCAACCGATTCGAAATGTCCGAGTTTTCCTTTTCCAATTCCTCGGCTTTTTTCCTGGCAGCTACAAGTTCTTCCTCCTTTGCCAGTAAATGGACGATTTCCTTCACGTTGATGTTGATTGGTGAAACATCTGGGTCTTTTCGGCCTGTATCATCGTTTTGCTGCAAAATTATTTGCTGGACAATCCTGTCAAAGAGCAGCCAATGTTGTGGATGCGATCCATAATCCAACGGAATAAGTAGGCAATGTTCAAGTAAGGAAAGTAAATGAGGATATGCTGCAGTGTGACTTAATTTTCTTCGTATAAGATCAAACATTGTTGTTGCACTTTTGGTGTCCACGTGTTCCTGTTCAAATTTTCTTGCCAGTTCTTTTTCATCTTCGTTGCGCACCAGCTCGAAAAAGTCCAAATGCCGATCCAATGTTTCGTTTTCGTGCAGTCTCAGCTTTTCGATGATTGGTTGAATCCCGAGCAAAAGAAACTCGTACCGTAAATGTAGCCTGAATTCCAAATTCTCCTGACCGAGTCCGTAGTTTAGTACAGCATTGACAAAAGACATGATGGCAGTTTTCAAATTGACTTCGTCCCTGTAGATGCCCGTTGACCTGTCAAGATCGTTGATGATTCCTTGGAATCTTGTACGTTCGAAGGCGTATTTTTGATAGTGGCGCATCGCGTCTAGGACTTTCTTGTGACCGCCTGAGACTAGACAGACTGCACCTAGAATTTCCAGGACAGCTATTTTGGTTTTTATGTTTTCTGTGCTTAGGGATTGAGCTATTGTGTTGATGCTTGTCGGGTGGGCCAGGACATGTGCTCTACCAGTCTAGAATTTGATTGTATTGTATTATTTTTTAGTAGGTATAATGAGGTACTTACGGAATTGTTCATAAGAGCCTTCACGCAACCAATGATGCTTGTATGTATGGAGCTTTGGGCTGTAAAATAATCCATGGCGGTTAAAAAATCTAAAAGTACTTGAAGGCCTTCTAGCTCGATGAATTTGATTACGAAACTGTGCGTCGATGTTCTTAGGGCGGTTTTCAGTGCGTCAATTTGTTTGGTACGCATCATGACTTCTTCTTTTACGTTGGCGTCAGGATATTTTAGCTGGAAAGTGATAATTATGAAAAGTTAGAAAAATATAAGTCAGATTTCAAGAGTTCACAGAACAGAAGGAACATCTGTGAATTATTAGGTGCAGAAAGATGCTAAAGGTAAGTGAAAATACATCCGAAACAGAGTTCACCGCAGGCGGCCTAAGAGGTTATGCTGAATCTGTTGTCAATATATTTGTCCATTAGAGGCACAGCTGCGCAAAGGGAGCTCTGAGACTGGAAAGTTCTCGCATTGACAACCCTATTATCTTTTGTTTCCAATGATGGATTTTAAATGGAAATGTTGCAAGAAAAAAGATCTGAATAATTTTTGTTGTAAATCATGCCTAGGAGTGTATGGAGTGGTATGATTCAGTAAGAATAATCTATGGGAATACCATATATTGCTCTGAAGAATGTGCTGAGAAAGATCTGTTGGCTGAAAAAGCAGAAACAGACAAAGAAAACCAATTTCAACAAATGAATCAGGAAATTTTGGAGCTTAAGTAAGAGCTTCAAGCCAAACATTTACATAGCAAAAGCATGGAAAGACTCAGCCAAGATTTTGAGAACGATATAGTGTAACATTACACATGTCACTTCCTTTTTTTAAAATAAATAATTTTAATATATAATTATTCAGTCATATGGCGACATCTATTGTTCGGCAAGATACTTCCGGAGACGGTTTGGAAGAAAGCCTTGTAATCCAGACGAAATCGGGGCGCAGTATAATGAAAATTATTAAACTAAATGATGGTATGAATAAATTGAAATTGGACATAAGTATTTAAATTGAATGATGGGGAAAACATTGCCCTGACTGCAGAAAAAGTGATTATGCAACAGGAGCTGAATAAGATGAATATACATTTGCAGGAGCATATGAAAATAAATCGTAATATGATTGGAGGCTCAAAATGAAATCTATCAGATGGAAATATTGAACATTTCAAGGATTAAGCAGAGTTGATGATTGGACCAACCCTTTGCCAGAACTCATTTATAGTGGAGGAACATCCAGTAACACAACCTGTTGAGTCCACTAATGTAAATGAATCATTTTCTGCTGTGATGATGAAGTTTCACCGAATGTTGTTATGTGATCAAAATGGTCGCTATTTGGATAAATGGTTACGGAAGTATTCAAACCTATAGATACAGACAATAATAAAACCTGGTGCTTTGTTCAGGAACATCACTGAAGACATTATTAATTTAGTTAGATTATGTTATAATTATTGTGGGTGGGGCAAATGATTTTTCTGCACATAATAAGCAATAAGCTTTGAGATTGTCAAATGCTGCCCATGCCAAGCTTAATCTCCTGAATATTTCACAGGTGCTGGTTATCTCGACCTATGCGAATTTCATGGCCTAGGTATTTATAGGATTTCAGTGTCACCTAAAGGTATGTTTTTAGATTAGTCATAAATTGGGTCTTTGACATGTTGATTTTTAGCTTAATTTGACCTGATGCTTGGTAAAGTCTTTCAAGAGATGTTGTGGCTTTATCAGTACGGGCTGAAATTAAAACTATATTATCGGCGAATCTGAGGTGGCTGAGATTTTCTCCATTGACACTTATACCCATATTATCCCAATCTGTTCCTTTACACATACACCTACTGTAGCAATGTAGTAAATAATTTATGGGAAATTATATCGCTCTGAAGGATTCGACAATTTATCAATTTTGTCGGTGTGGGCATGTAGTTTAATTTGGGCTGTGGCAGTGTCATCAATGTTTTTTTATAAGTGTTATGTAATGACGCATAGGCGCCGAAACCATGGGGGCGGAACCCCCATAGTGAGTTTGGCACTGGGTGTAGTGAGTAGGTATAAAAATATTGAGTTCCTGATCCTAACATTCCTATTTATTTTTATATCAAACTTGTGTGTTTTATGTTTTTGTTGCTTTTGCTATACCGACTTTGACAAACAGTTTCAATATTTTTTTGTTTAGTATAGCATAGTAAATTTTAGGGCCCTTAATACAAAAAGCTTAGATGACAACATAAAGGATCTCTTGAACAAGCTGGAACGCTACCAGTATTTCACCACCTTAGATTTAGCTAGCGGCTTCAACCAGATCTAGATGTATGAAAATACCATCGAAAAAACTGCATTCAGCACAGAAAACGGGCATTATAAATTCTAGCGCATGCCCTTTGGTTCGAAGAACGCACCGGCTACATTCCAAAGAGTTATGGATGATATTCTATACCCGAATATATTGAGCGACTTCAATACCCAAAGAATGAACATCTCATTAATAATAGTTATTCATTATACAAAAGAAAAAAGTATTAGATTTTAGAGCGAGATGTGGTTTGCTTCCCGTCGCGAAGCGGAGGGAGATAACAACAAACTTCTCTATTCAACCTTAGAGTTTTTTTAGACATTTAATTCTATTGCATTAAAATTGGCCTATTGTTGACCTGTCAAACTTCTACATAGGTAATTCATTTTTTGACCATGCCGTAAGCTTATTTATAGGTTTGTTTCGTGCCATAAGTTTAGTTTTTTCCAATTTGAAAGCAGGACACCATAGCGAGGGAGTGTGTTGATTTCAGTCTATTTGCTGAAAATATCTGTATATCAAAATTGAATCAGACTTTTGGACTATGTTCCCTTTTTTGTCTGCCAACTTACCAATAAGAGCTTATAATAATTATAAAATCATCAATAAATTTAACTTAAAATTTAAGAAATATTGTTTGAAATTAAATAAATATAGTGAAGGCAATGTTATTGTTCGTCGATTTTTAACTGATACTTGCGGTATGAGGAGCGAGGGGGTGTTTCATATGGCAAAAAGAAGTGTGACGTCAGGTATCCATTGGCAATCTAATGTAGGGAGCCACCAGCTCACATTCCGTCCGAGTATCAGATTAAAATCGACGAACAATATGTGGTGTGATTTTGGCAACTATGGGGAAGAGGAATTCTTGCAACTGCTGCTACGGCAAGTACTATGTGAGAAACCTTGTAAGAATCTGATATTTGTTCCAATTTCAAAAAATGTTATCACAGCTGATTCAGCAATGCAAAATGAAGTGCATTATTTTTTAGGCCCACTCCCCATAAATATATCAATAGAATAGATAAAGATAAAAGACAGAGTTTTACTTTGATTTACTTTAATTCAGGTAGTACCTATGCCCATTTTGAGGAAATACATAGTTTTATGATTAAAAAGAAACCTAATGTGGTATACATATCTGAGACTCATTTAACTGAGAATTTAGATGCCTCGGAGGTATTTGTTGAGGGCTACAAGTGTATGAGAGCAGATAGTGTTAGTAGGTGTGGGGTGTAGATTTAGATAAAGAATACCTACAACATACAACAGCTGTCTCATAACAAAGATTATTGGATTTTAAGTTTGAAAATAGATATTCACGGTAAATTATTTAGAATTGCTTGCGTCTATAGATCACCAAGTTCGAGTAGCGAGGACTTTTTAGATTTTTTTTTTTTAGGACTGGTATGAAGAATATATTTGTGATGTTAGAACCCCAGTTATTGTAACGGGTGATTTTAATTTGAATTGGTTATTACATAATACATATATACAAATAGGTTTAAATTATATAGTAAGGAGGTAGGACTCAACCAGTTAGTTACAAAAGTGACTAGATCCTCGGATAGGGGATGTGAAGGTACCTTCATTGACTTAATTTTCACAAATGTGACGAATATTAATTATTGTAATGTTTTAGGTACCCCTAGAAAATTAGTGACCATTATATTTTGTCCGTTGGTATTGATGTCTGAGACACGAAAAGCCAGAAGCCCTGTTTTGTAGAAACTCGTGGGAGAAATATAGATTATAAATGTGTGCAGGAAAAAATCTTGGGTGTTGATTGGATATTGATATAAATTTTAAAATGTGATATGTTCCTCAATAATTGTTTGGATGCTTTCAACGAAATGGCGCCCAAAAAACATGTAAAAATACAGGCTAAATATAAACCATGGTGGAATGAAAGAGCCGAGAGTGCTGTAAAGGAGAGGGATGAGTGGTGCAAAAGGTATAGGGTTGATAATTTGGAGTTGACTCGTGGTATATATATTATCCCTTCAAATAATAAAAACGGTACTATAGAATTTATTGAATTTGAAAATGGTGAATGTGAGAATGATAGTAGAGTGATTTGTGAGAGACTAAATGAATATTACGTTGAGAGCATAAAGAATATTTGTGAACAAATTCCAGTTGCAATGAGTTAAACGCAGCATGACCTCATTTCATCAGATTTTGGCTTAATTACAAAGGAAGAATTGAAAAATATAGTATTTTCTTTGAAAATCAAAAAAAGTCCGGATGATTGAAGACCCCCTAATAAATCTAATCAGTTTCTCTTTAGAAATAGGTATTGTTCCTGATAGGTTGAAGCTGTCTATTGTGGTGCCAGTTCAAAAGAAACCTAATGTGAATGTAGCGAAAAACACTCTGTCTGAGAAAATAGACCTGCGCTTTTTCATTTGCCGCGACCGGTTAAATCAAGACGGTTTCGTTCGCACTCCCTCGCATCGGACTTGAACTTCCTGAAAGAGCTGGCCAACTGAGTGGAGTTCGGAAGTAAAGCCAGGAAAGGTGAAAAAAAATCCTTTGCAGTTTCGGAATCTTTCAATTTCAATTTAAAATCTTTCATCGATTACCATTCTATCAGCAACCTGTGGATTTTCCAGTTTTAATTTCGCACATTAATTTGTTTGACTTCCAATTTTCGATCAATAAATATGCTGCCGGCATTGGAAAAAATTCTTGAAATAGGTATATGGTATTAATTGATTTTGTGGAAAGTAATAACTTGATAACAGGTAACTAGACCGGATTCTGAAAAAAGCACAGTTGTGAAACAGCCATACAATGTGTGGTCGATCAATGGAAAAATGGCTTAGATAACAACTGTGGTATAATTGCAGTTTTTTTGGATCTTCAGAGAGATTTCGAAATAATTGATAGACACAGATTAGTGGAAGGGGTTTGAAATGGATTGATAGTTACCTTGTGTCGTAAGCAAGTGGTTAGGTTGAGTGGGGAGTTATCAACTGAGAGAAATAATAATTACGGTGTACCTCAGGGTAGTATACTAGGGCCTTTGTTGTTTGTATTATACAGGGTAACTCAGAGTAAATTTCCCTCTTCGAACGCGTTCTGTACATCCAATTTGATATTTGTGGAGGGGTTAGCGCCGGCAATTTACGGCGACTGTTTGCGGATTATCAGTAAACATGGAGCAGTGGTCGAACAAGCAACGCGCGTTAAGTGTCGAGGCGTTTTTTAAATCAAATGATTCCCATGTCGCGTTACGGCGACGTTTTTGTAACCGTTATAATATTCGGCATATACGTGATACTCCGTCAAAAAATTTATGGAAATTATGGGTTCAAAGATTCAGACAAAGTGGTCCAATGGCAAAGCCGCAGCGTCCCGGCCAACAGAAGTCCATCAAAACGCCAGAGAACATTGGAATTGTGCGACGTGCTGCGACCGAAAAGCCGAGGCGCTCAATTCGAAAACATGGTGGGACGTTTCTGATTTGTCAATTGCCACTGTACCACTTTGAATCTTTGAACCCACGATTTCAATACATTTTTTGACGTAGCGTCACGTATACGTCGGATATGTTTACGGTTACAAAAACGTCGCCGTGACGCGACATAAGAATCATTCGATTATAAAAACGCTTCAACCATGAACGCGCGTTGCTCGTTCGACCACTGCTTCATGTTCACTGATAATCCGCACGCAGTCGCCGCATATTGCCAGCGCTAACCTCCCCACAAATATTAAGTTGGATGTACAGGGCGCGTTCGAAAAGGGAAATTTACTCTGAGTTACTCTGTATATCAATGATATCGTAGAAGCGGTGTATCCTACAGTTAGTGTTCATCTGTTTGCAGACACGCTAGTATACTCAATATCCAAAAATGTGAATGAATTGGTTGAGGGTACTAACAATGTTTTCGATAATTTGTACAGGTCGTTTTTTTATATATTGACACCCCGCTTGCCTTAACCTTTACAAGTAGATGAAAGGTGTAAATACAAAAGTTGTACAGTATTGGCTAAATTTTCAAAATCCATGGTCTGAAACAAAAATTGAATGTCAGAAATGTGAAATATTGCATGCTTTCAGCTTTTCTCAAATAGGATGCGCTCTATTTGGTTCTATATTCTTGAAGAGCATAATTTCCCGATTCCAAAACTATATAGTTTGTCTATATTTGGTTGAGCCGTTTCCAACATATTTGGTTCTAAAAATTTTAAAATTACTATCAGAGAAACCAAGTACCTCAATTTTACCTGCAGCTTTCACCTGTACAGGTAGAATGGTTCACAAAATCAATAGTAGGATAGTATTTTTACAATTTTTGGAGCCGAATATATGAGAGACTGTTCAATCAAATATAGACAAACTATATATTTTCGAAATCGGGGCATTGTGCTCTTCAAGAATATGGAATGAAATAATAGGGAATCCCATTTGAAAAAAGCTGGAAGCATGCAAAATTTCACATTTCTGACATTAAAATTTTGTTTCTGATCATGGCTTCTAAAAATTCAGCCAAAACTGTACAACTTTTGTATTTACACCTTTCTTCTACCTGTAAAGGTAAAGGCTGTAGGTGGGGTGTCAATATTAAAAAAAATACCCGTACAAATAAGTGGATTATTGCGGAACTTATGGGTGGACCTCGCTGTGCTCGTCCCACAACCATCTACTCACCAATATACTGTTGAACTACTCAAGTAAGACATTCAACTAAAACGTGTAGTTTTTGAACTAATGAAAATAACTCACATTTGAGTGAGTCAGGTTAGTATCGTAATTAAACAACATATTGATGAACAGATGGAGGTCCACCCATAAGTTCCGCAACAATTCAATTCACTACTTGAATAACTTGTCATATTATGTTATTAGTTTGGTAAAGTAACATTACTAAATGCTGTTGAAAGGCAAATTGTGAAAAAGTGAATAATCTTACAAATTTTGACTTTATATAATAAGTTATTGTTCAGGTACAAACACGTGGATTATTTCGGAACTTATGGGTGGAGCTCTGTGGGACCAGCGCAGCGAGTTCCGCAGTCATCCACTCACCAATATACTGTTGAACTGCTCAAGTAAGACATTGACCTGAAACGTGTAGTTTTTAAACTAATGAGAATAACTCACATTTGAGTGAGTCAGGTTTGTATCGTAATTAAACAACATATTGATGAATACATGGCTGCGGTCCACCCATAAGTTCCGCAATAATCCACTTATTTGTACTTGAACAATAACTTATTATATAAAATCAAAATTTGTGAGATTATTCACTTTTTTTCAAATAAGTAATGTTACTTTACCAAACTAGTAACATAATGTGACAAGTTATTCAAGTACAAACGAGTGAATTGTTGCGTAACTTATGGGTGGACCTCTGCGGGACGAGCGTAGCGAGTTCCGCAGCCATCTATTCACCAATATGTTGTTCAAGTACAATACCAATTTGATTCTCTCAGCTGTGAATTTTTCTCATTACTTCAAAAACTACATTTAGATTAATGTCTTACTTGAACAGTTCAACAGTATATTGGTGAGTAGATGACTGCCACCCATAAGTTCCGTAACAATCCACTCGTTTGTACTTGAATAACTCACATTATGTCAACTAGTTTAGTAAAGTAACATTACCAATTCCTGTTAAAAGGCAAATTGAGAAAAAGTGGATAATCTTACAAATTGTGACTTTATATAATAAGTGATTGTTCAAGTATGTACAATAATTATACCTATGTGTGTGAATAAGTTGAAGATAAATGCATCAAAAACAAAAATCTATGGTTATTGTACCGGAGAAAATAAAAAGGGCTTTTGGTAAAGAAAAATATATTATACAGATTGATGGATATCCTATTGAGATTGTGAGAAAAATTAACTATCTGGAAGTAGGTAATAATTGATGATCAGTTGACAGTTGTAGAGCATGCTAATTCAATTATAAGCAAAATGAGCTATAATATTAATCATTTATCAAGATACAGTGTATATTTGAGTTACTGGACCAAAGTTATTATGTTATAACACACTCGTACTACCGCATCTTAATTATTGTGCTTTTGTTTTTGGTAAACCAGAATACTTTAGAAAAAATACAAAAAATGCAAAATCGTGCAATGAGGCTAATTTTGGTATGTAACAGATACACTTCAATCCTTTCAATGCAGGAACGCTTGCTATGGTTGCCTGTTTCCGAATATATTAAGTAATGGATATGATCCTCAATACTTAATGGACAAAATAATATATAATGATGAAATCCAAAAATATAGTTACACGACAACAAAGCGATTTTTTTTAGGGGAATCGATATATAGGTATATAATAAATTGCCCGCTGCAATAAAGTCATGTGATTCAATCTTCAAGCTCTACAGTTGTAGAGCAGACCCTTTCAAATCTAACCTAACCTAAGGGAAAATTAACTAGGAAGTTTTAGCTTGCATCCGAGAAAGTAAGAGTTGCACTATGGGAAAATTTATGGAATTCTCGAGAAAAGCGAGGGAGTTCGATTTCAGTAAATCAAAAGAAGTCCAGGCAAACTTAAGAATTCATATCTATACAAAAATGCCACTTGCATAGTAGAACTGGAACATTCTTGTTCCAATCAGACAGGAACATGCTGGACACAGATCTATAGATGCGATGGATTTTTATTCAAAAATTGGTGATAATGAAATAAAGAAGAAAAAGAGGAAGTCTTGATAGTTAAAATCTGTTTCAGCAAATTTCACCAATATTTAATAATGTACTTACTGTTGCTAACATTCTCAGTCTTTCAATGTATTCTTCAGGCGTTGCTGCTTGGTCAGTTGTATCCTCTCCACCCTTCCGTGAGCAATAGATCTGCCATTTTTTCTGAGGTGGAAGACTGAGCATCGCCGCTTTATTGGGTGCCGTCAAATCTAGTTCTTCCTAAAACAAAAATTCATCATTCGATTATCCGGTCGATAAAACAAGAAGGTGAACGACTTTTCATCATCAAACGTAATGCAACAACAACACAAATCTTCTTAACCGTTACAAATGGTATTCAAAGCCCCCGTTGCCTTTACACAATTTAATTGTAATAATTATTGGTAAGCAAGCGCAGGTGCTTGATGTTCATTGGCCAGGAAAAACGTTAGATAATCTATTTCTATTTATTTCTTCCTGATGCTAAGAAGAAACAAAGGAGATTCCGCACTTATCTTCGATCGTTTATATTGATTTACAGACTATGGAGTCTATTTAGAAGAATATTTTTCACAAAATTGCATCGTTTCACGGGACATTAACTTTTGATTAATGGAAAACGAAAACTAGATAAATCGATTTAAATTATTGAACATAATAATTTAAAAAACATGCACGATCATGACGGACGCGTCCGTGAAAGTTTCAAGGCAAAACGAATCTCTTTTTGTTGATTTGTTTTTTGATCTGTTTACGGCCAGTGTGGCAACGAAAAAAATTTTTCTCGTGGCGTCACGTCAATTATAATTTAAAAACGAAATTGGGGCCTCACTTGTTCCGCCGCATCGGGAGGCTGATTGCAATCACTTTTCCTTATTCTCCGGCACCGTTTTGTAATTCGCTTGCGGGGCTCCGGAGAAAAAGTTCATGGTTCAATGGAACAAACCTAGTAAATCTTGGTTTAATTTGAACTGAAGTTTTGGATAAAGTTAGGTGATAATCTGACTGTTTGAAGTTTCCTTCTTGTTGTTCTTTGACATTCATCATCCTCCTATATTACTTCTTATCAAGCACTCTTTTCTAGTTACATGATCACAAACCAATAAATATCATTACAAAATACCCTCAATATACAATGAATTCTAATCCTATAGTGCTGGAACAAAAAGAAAATACACCATATACATAAATAATAAACTATCTAGTTAGACAATCTAAGCAATTTAAGTAGCTCTGAGCTTTATAATAACGGCTTTAGAAAAAAAATAAGCGCTTGCCGCTAGCATCTGTTTAAAGGTTTCATAGTTTTATAGCTGCGGCACATAACACGCGGAAATTGTTTGCAAGTTTTTCATACCAAAATTATATGAACATATGGCTTGTATGCAAACATTTGATAATGGCGATAGTTTAGTATCGTAAGAATCTCCCGGGTATAATTACCTACTTATTAGACGATTGAGTTTTTGCGCCTGGTATAATGAAACAAGAGTGTTTGTGTAATAGGTTGAGTTTATGTTAGAAATGTTCTTATTTATATTGGAATCTTAACTCTTTTGAAGAGCTACAGATTTTAATAACAAATCAAGTATATGGAGCTGTTTTTTTAATGAGAGCTGAAGTAAAAACTGATCCAAAAGTCATACTCTTTGTAGTAATGCAAATACCCCAGAAATAAGGCATAAATCGACAAAATTAAGCATAAGATTAACTTAAGATTCAGATTCAGAACAAGAACTGATGAGTGGACCGTTCTAGAACAATCCCAGAATTGTTCTTAGTTCTAAATAATCTAAAACACAGTTTAGATTGATTTTGAACTAGTTCTAAGTGAAACCAGAACAAGGCTTATATCGCCTGATTCTGACCCATTTGCTCAAGATTCACTTTGAAAATAGCAATTTCTGAGTTTTCCTATAAAAACTAGGAAGATAAGTTTTGGAACTGTATCTCACCTAATAATCACGTCTGTAACATTTACGTAAAGTTTATATAAATTCGGGATTATTTCTTTTCCAGCATTAGTTTCATGTCAAGTTTATGTAAATACTAACTAGATGTTTGTAAAATCGAAATTGGAAATTTTTCTAAGGTAAGGGATACAAGGAAATTTCTTTTTCAAATATTCCGGAGGGCCGTATTTCTGAAACAAGAAATGCTATCAGTACGTAATTTCGTCCAATCGTAGATCTTTATTAGGGCTTTAAAAAAGGTTATTTGGGGCACCGAGCTCTAGGGCTTCGTTTTCGAGATAATCGGCTTTGAAGGTTTTCCAAAATTTGAGACAAATTTCAACTTTGAGGCTCAATATCTTGGAAGCTATTTGAGATACATTATTCAATTTAGGTTTACCTTAAAGAGCATTTAATTCTTATTCAGAATATATAAATATGAATCAGATTTGTGAAATATTATTTGAATTATGAGGGATTTTGTGAGGCAAAGTTGGATGATCAGAATTTTTTCAGGGCAAAAAATGCAAAAATAATTATTTAATTTTTTACAGACTCTAAAACCTCAAAAAGACAAATCACGGAAACGCTTTCCTACTAAATTTTACCCCCTCTTTCGATTGATGAAGTCAAAAATTTGAAAAAACTCAAAAAAATATTTTGTTACAAGTATGGCATTCAAGCCATGGTGAGCCGGCCCAACTCAGAGAACATCGGGGCTGAGGGCTCAGAGAACGAGCTTCCCACGGAAGAAGAGGAAGAGTTACTGAGGGACGGAACAGAGATCGTCAAGGTGAGGGCAACGACATCTCACCTCAGTCTTAGTAACTAACCTGATGGACAACACAGCCACCAGGGTAGCCCAAGTCAACCTACATCACGCCAGAGGATCCTCTGCTGTGATTGCGAGGCTGGTTGGGCAAGGATATGTGGATCTTGCGCTGATCCAAGAACCATGGGTTTACAGGGACTGACAACCAAAAGCTCAACGGTAATATGGGACGACAGGCACGAAATGCCTAGAGCCTGCATAGTAATTAAAAGACATATTAATTATATTTGTGTTTCAAAATTGATGATAAAGGACTTAGTGCCGATTATGGTGAATTTCAATCACCAAGGCAGACAACGAACCATTGTCATAGCATCCGCATACTTCGCTGGGGATGGGGCACGCACGCCCCCGGTGGAACTGCAGGAGCTTGCGCACCACTGTAGAGGGAAAAACACACTCCTTGTGGAAGGCGACGCGAATGAACACCACATCTTCTGGGGAAGCTCAAATACCAACACCAAGGGTGAGTACCTTTTTGAATACTTACTTGAAATGAACTTTGATATTTACAATAAAGGGAATACACCCACTTTTACAACAAGGGCTAGGGAGGAAGTATTAGACATTACATTTGGTAGTTCTAAAATAGAGAACTACGTGAAAAACTGGAGGGTATCGGCTGAAGCCTCCCTGTCTGATCACAGGATCATAGAGTTCAGCCTAGAAATAAGCACCTCCAAAGCAAAACTCAGGAGAAATCCTAAGAGAACAAATTGGGAATTATACAGAGGCAATCTGGAGGAAAATCTCAAAGCAATCAACCCAGGAAGAATAGGAAATCACCTAGAACTGGAAGAGAAAGTACGACTCGTGAACCAGGCAGTAATAGAGGCTTTTGACTCTAGCTGCCACATGGTTTCGAAAGAACGCTCGAGTGTGGCCCCATGGTGGAATGCAAAGCTGGCACGCCTCCGGACCCAGGCTCGGTGTTTATTCAACACAGCCAGGAGAACCGGAGAGTGGCAGCGGTACACAGAGGCCCTCACAGAATACAACAAAGGAATCAGAAAGGCAAAAAGAAACAACTTTAGGACTTTTTGTGAAAACATCACCTCGACTCCAGTAGCCGCTAGACTACACAAGGCAATGGCCAAAGAGGGAGCGTGTTTGACAATGGCTCTTAAGAAGCCAGATGGTACCTACACGGAAGGTGAAGCAGAGCGTGCGCTCCTTCTTTAAACCAAACACTTCCCAGGCAGCAAACGTACAAATAGAAGTGAGGAAAGATCATACCCCAGACAAGGGAGGACTGGGAAATAGCAAAAGTAGTACTCACCAATAGGCGGCTCGAATGGGCATTGAACACATTCGAACCTCTGAAATCGCAAGGAGTGGACGAGATCTTTCCAGCACTTTTACAAAGAGGAAAAACAGAGATCATGCCACACCTTGTAGATATAACCAGAAGCAGCATGGCAATGGGATATATACCTCAAATATGGAGAAGGGCAAGAGTCACTTCCATTCCGAAGGTAGACAAGAAGGATGAGACAGACCCCAGATCCTTCAGACCAAAGAGCCTCACATCGTTTCTTTTAAAGACAATGGAGCAGAGGTTATTCTAAGGATTTTTTTCCACTGCACATAGAAGTGAAGTTAACTATAAGTCGTCATAATGGAAGTAGTTGAATCTCTCGTAGAATTCCTCACCGAAAGTTATGAAATAGATGCTAATAAGCTATCAGTGATAAAACCATTCACGAATTTAAAATTACTAGCTGACTTCACACACATAACCTCAATTTCGTTGGGGGGACAAACAAAGCGTTTGAGAACTATTTACAGCACTCAAAACTGTGACACTGATGATGAAAAAATTCACTGCGCCGGACTTGTCTGAACAGGTATATTACCAGGTTCATTTGACAAATATCTTTTGTTTGTCCCATTGATGTAGGCATGTAAGTTTGTCTGAATGACATGAAATGTTTATCCCCCCCTCTAAAGTGACGTTATGTGATTTTTGACGTAATAGCTAGCGCCTGCGTATATTAGGCAATCCAAACCACGTGACATTCAAGATAGCGTGGTGGCTACACATAGGCCAAACCATTAGCCAAATTTCATTTTTTAGTCGTGTGCAGTCTACTGTCTGTTCGAAGCTTTACATTTTTATGTACTTTAACCCTTTCGAGTCTATCGAGACATATGTATCCCACTATCACTATCAGAAAGTCTGATGGTTTAATTGAGTCCCATTTTATGTGTAATATGAATAATTCAGTCCTACACGATCTTCCCCACGAGCGCTATTTAACGTTTGGCAACGTCGTGAAAGCGGGTTTTAGCATTGTCTAAGAGTGGATTTTAGTGGTTTTAGGTCTGTTGGGTTGAATATGTCCCAATAAAAAAGTTGGGAGTTTTGGGACAAATACGGCCCAAAAAAATTTCTCCCAAATTTGAAAAAAAGTTGGTATTCGACTTTTTTTTTAGTACATAAAAAAGCCTAAAAA